CAGATCGGAGCCGATTCCCAGCACTTTTTCACACCCTGTCAGGCAAGACAGCCTTTGCCGCAAAGCTCGATCGCCCGGCTCCCGACCTCCAACGTCTGACTAGCAGTCGGCCATTCCACCATTTCTGCTGAAGAGAGGACCTCGAGACGGGGCATCTGAGATCAGTCCTGGACGAGCTAGTGCGGAGTGACCATGGCTTGCACGATTTTTCTCCGGGAAGCAATGCTGAAGCACCAAAAGTCGATAATATGCTTCAGTCCAGGCAGCACACGACACGGCAGGAGATGAGCAATGAACGACGCACAAGCTGCTTCACTTCGACGGATCACCCATCGTGTCTGCACGGATTGCTCTTGTCTCGGTCCGGGAACCTCAGCACGGCAAGACTCCATAGCAATTGTGAGAAGAGCCGCGCTGATTTTGCACGACAAGGCCTGCATCTCTTGGATAGGTCCAGTACCTTGGTTCCGGCCAGATGCCAATTGGTGGTGTAGGCACTGCCATCGACAAGCACAACGCAAATATTGGAACTGATGCTGCTCTGCTGTCAACACGAAAGATGTGTAATTCTCTGTCATCGTTGGAACCAATAAAACACACGCGGGCTTGTGTCTACATATTTACTACGCGCACTCATGCAGTTGCGCGTATAGGAAGGGATCACGATCTCTCTCTCTCTCTCGCCGTCTCTGTTTCTGTCTCTCTTCCTTCCTTCCTTTCTTCCTTCCTTCCCCCCTTGCTTCCTACACCTTCCCTCCTTGCTTCCTGCTTTGGAGCAGAACCTAGCAAAATCGACGATGTAATACGTTGTGTTGAAGCACAGTTTCTGAGACTGAATGTCCCAAGACAGGAGAAGCTCCCCAAAACAACGTATCTTTGCAGTTCTATCTTCCCAAATCCACAACACTCCAGGCTTTTGAGTCCGGTCATCCAACATAGGTAACATAAGCAGCACCTGTAAAGTGACATCTAAAGACGAGCACATCGCCAGGGCATTCCGTACTGCTCCGGTTATAGATGGAAGCAGCACCATCAAGCAATGCTGTGTACTCTGTGAACTTGGAGACAGACTTTTCAGCATCCGTACAGAATGCATCTGACCCTAATCGAGAACCAAATAGAAAAACAGAAACAAGAGCTTGAATCTGGTTTTACCAAAACCAAACTATGGCTGTCAGTACTTGTTTGTCTCTTGGCTGTGCCTGGGCACTCTGAAGGTTTGGTCTGGGTGTGCCATGTGACATGAGAGAGGTGCCTGAGGGCAGACACAGACAAGAGAACTCCGGTGCATAGCGTCACAGCGTCACATCACATCAGCGAGCCGAAGCCGAAAGCCCGAAAAGCCCCCCGAATCCCAAACCGTGTGGCATGGGAAACCAGGCCAGCCCGCAGAGCGCCCACGGGATCAGGGCCACGGCTAAGAGGGCCTCAGCTCAGCGGAGCTCGTAGGTGACACTGAGAGTGAAATTCCCGTTTTGAGGGGCTGCCACCCTAAGCCCTAAGACGAGGTGCAGAGCGCAGCGCGTTGACCGACTGGTCGTGACCGGCTGCGGCCAGACCCCCAAGTTTGCAGCCGAACGCCTCAAAGTTTCCGCATCTCTGAAGGGCTCTGAGGCCGTTCTTCTGAGTGAGATCGGCACCTCGGAGATGAGGCCAACCAGAGGCGCCCCAAAAATGGACGAGATGATGCCCTCCAGGGCAATCCTTGGGATGTGCAACACCTTGCAAGATCTTACACGATGCGCAAGGGGAATTTCTGCTCGGAACTTAAGGCTGCCGCCACAATGCAAGGATCTGTGCCCTGTCGCGGCTGTCGCGGACGATCCTTCGCTCACGGAGCAACATGCAGATAGACCTTGCAATAGCGACGACGTCGACGATGACCACTGCGACGGTCTTGTGATTGCGACTGCACGCATGTCTGGGCTGAAGCGACACCTCCTACAACGGTGTGAGGAGACCGGGCTCCGGGCTCGCCGCAGATGGGTCTCAGAGCCGCTGCGGGCGTCCTCGGAGACCCCCCCGAGACATCTTCACTCGGAGCCTCTGTGCCCCAAGTGCCCCCCAAGTGGAGTCTTTTTTGAAGGGTCACCAACAGGAGGCAACGTGGAAGGCGAAGAAGAAGCCCACCACCAAACTGAACTTCGCGGGGCTGGTCATCACCTGCACGCGAGTCGAGCGAATCTCGCCAGGCAGCCGTGGGGCACGCAGGGACAGAAGCCTGTTGCTGGTAAGGCCCCTGCGGCTACAAAGAACAAAGAGCCCAGCAGGACGGAGAGCTGCGCAACGACACAGCGGCCCCCGTAAGGCCAGCAGCGATGGAAGCGGTCACCCAGCCAGCCACCGAGCAATCCGCCGACCATCCCGCCCAAGCCTCAAGGACAAGAGTGGTCCGGCAGCCGAACCCGAACCCGACTGCACCCCCCCAGTCCTCCGTAGAGCATGATCTCGCCGGCCCGGAAATCGTTGAAGCCACTAAGTTGAAAATACAGTGGCAGGAAGGCGAAACCGTTCCATGGAATTCCACCGGTCACACCTTGATCAAGCGATTAAATCAGACAAAGCAGGAGCCGTCGCTTTCCAGAGCGTGCAAAGCTTGGCCACCAGCCCTGGGAGACCATGATTACGAAGGACGGCTTTTGCATGACCAGCTGCACCACTCGGGCCTGCGGCTTAGAAATGCCCCCGACGTTTTATTCGTCAAATCTTTATCCCACACTTTCTCCATCTCTGCTCCTGCTCTTCCCACCAGGATCGGCCCTTGGTGTTCATTCCAGAAGCGGCCAACGTATCTGGAACGATTGTCACAACAGCGGCGACGGTGAAGAAGGAGGCGATGCCAATCAACGCGTATATGCATCCTCAAGTGGTGATGCCCGAGACTGCCCCTGTGCGGATGCTTGCTTTCTCACGGATTGCGCAGTGTGATGCTGGAGAATGCAAGTCACGCCAGCCATATACGCCAGCGATGAGCACCCTGGCAAAGCCGGTGGTAAGGAAGGTCACTCCAACACTCCTCGGGTCCGACTCCACATCGTGCAGCGGAGTCAGGCGCACTCTCACAAGAGATCAGTTCAGATTCAGAGCCGTGGAGATGGACTGCAGGAGCCCGAAGACCCAGCCCCGCTCGGCTTCGGGAACCAGGTCGCAAAGCATGGCTTGACCGATCGGCGCGACCACCTCAGCTGGACAGGGCAGGCCCATCCCTCGTGAACTCAAGACTCAAGCCATTTCCTCATGCTCTCCTGGCCAAGCTGAGTGTCCGCCAGGGCAGCGCCCATGACCAGCCGCAGCAAAAAGTGGACCATGTAGTTCGAGCCTCTGCTGGAAGTAAGGCTTTTCACCGCAACGCTGCGGCCGCTGGAAGACGGCAAGGACTGCTTCGGGAGCCGAGGTGCTCGTTGCAATCAACATCGTGACAAAGCCCCAAAGAAAGCAGCCTGGGGTCGTGCAAGGGTCGACCGAAACGAGCCGCCACTTGTCCTAGCCAAGGAGCCACCGGCGAGCAAGTCTCGTGGTGTGTAGAACTGCATCATGGAGCCCCACACGGGAAGAGCCAAGGAAAAGGCGATGCTCCTTGATGGATGGATCGCAATTGGAGTCTTGAAGTGCTTGGCTTAGCTTGTCTGGACCAATGACATCTTATCTTCGAAACGCAAGTGGGCATCTGAGCGAAGTTGAGCATGGCAAGCTGCGTTGGACCCACCTCAACATCAAGTCCGGCTATGCCCTTCGCATATGTCGGCTCTGAGAAAGTGAAGGCTCCCACTTTGGGGCTTTTCGGGGTCTCAGCTCCGGCCTGGAGCTGGTCGGCGAGAGCACCGAAGGTGGCCGGCAGCAGAGCCTCCGAACAAGCGGACACGTTGCGACTGAGACGAGCAAGTCGTTTCACAGGCTAGTCATGCCTCATGACTAGTCCACATGTCAGGCATCGCTTTGGAAGAGTTTGAGGGGTTTGTTTGAGGGGCTTGCCGGGACTGGTCAAGACTTGCCGGCCAGCTGAGCAGATCGAATCCTTCAATGCTCTGACGGTTGGTCTTTTCTAGCTGCGGCCTTGTCCGCAGCATCGATGGCACAGGCCTGGGTCGGTGCTACGGCTCAGCTTCCTTCGGCTGAAGATGCTGAGGACCCAGCAAGGATCACGACCTTGATACAATCCGACTGTGTGAAGGCTCTCTGTCACGTGAGTCCGCAGTTCTCCAGACCCCAGAGCCATTCTGTCCGAGGGGCATTTCGAACCTTGACCGAAACAGAAGGAGAACTTGCGATTGTCGGCATGGCATCTCACTAGCTGTCAGACTGCTGTCACTCTCATCGGAGCCGAAGCAGCTGGCGGCCATGCAGCGATACGAGCGACAGCGGGCCGGCGTGATCTCTGCTTCCCGAACCTTCCCCTGCAAATCTCTGGGGCTCCGAGCCGCTCTGGCTGCCGTCGTCGCACTCCAACTCGCCTCGGTCGGAGCACGACATCCCGGTTGCCTGCAGTGCCTTACAGCCTTACAACACAAGCTCTTTCTGCTGCTGTTCGTGGAGAAGCTTCGTCGTCGCCCGGAGGGTTCTGTTGCTGGTTGACTTGGGCCCAGGGGCTGGGACACAAGTGGTACAGTAGGGAGCGGTGAACCTGAACAAAACCCACGGCCAACAAAACTGCTCGTCTGAAGCTTTCAACCTTGATGCTTCTGGCTGTTCGGCAGAGATGCCACCAAGGACCTCGAAGATACCCACACCACAACTCAAACCCCAAACCGAAGGCAAGCTCCAGTACTTCGTTGATCATACATGTTGCTTTGCCGTTTCTGCGCGTCCACTTACAATTCCTCGACAAGCAAAACACCCTGTAGAGTGGCCACAGGGCGATGAGTTACACCACTAGATGTCGATGCAGTCGAGCTCAAAGCATTCATGATATGCATGTGTCAGATTCGTCAGCAGTGGAGAGGCGCAGCAACGTAGAACTCCCATGATGCAGCCCAATTCAAGAACTACCACACAGTGCACACTCTACTGCAGGCCTGGTTCTTGCGCATGTCTGACAGAACCAAAGCCATCAAGTCGACACGCAGAGCTCCGCGAAGCTCCTCCTGAGCTGCGTGCCACGGTAAATGCGGAAAGCCTGTAAGGGCCCTTGGGCATGCAGTAGCCGTTGAAGCCGTTAAGTCTTAAACAGTCTTAAACACTACCTTTGCCCTGCAAGGAGCTGGGCTCTGCCAGATCTCCACGGCCTCGTGCGGCTCAAAGTTGCACACGTCGCCATCGCGTTCGACTTCACCTTTACAGGCGGCTTCACACTACAATCCAGCAAAAAATGCCGGGAGTTCATGCAAGCGGAAGCGCCTACCAGCGTCAGCTGCCGCCCCAAGCGCTCGACCATGATTACACTTTCCTTGGCTGCCAGTGCCACTGCTTCCGAGCACAATGGGCCCGCACCAGAAGAGAACGAGCTTCGGCTTCCCACAAGCCTTGCTCCCGTCGCGTGCTTTCCAACGTGGGTATGCGCCAAAGCGCTTGGGCCTGCAAAGGACACGACGGTCACTACGAGTACAGGACTTCTGCCCTCCTCGCCTTCTCAGGCCAAAGGCTCGCGAGCTGTCCTGCTTCGGCGGAGGATGCCAGCACCTCTCGAGGCTTGCCAGTCCTTAGAGGTGCCAGGACAACTGCCTTGCATTGCCTTGCGGTCACTGGACTTCTTGCTGCCAAGAAGCACAACGAGAACATGGCCCATGAAGCCACCCGCATTGCCGATCTCGGCCAGTCGCCCTGACCCACGCATCAGCAGCACGTCACCTGCACACGAAAGAGATCAAACGCGCTGTGGCAACTGCATGCAACTGCTGCCCTTCCACCACTTGAACTCGCATAGACTGCGGCATGCAGATCAAAGAGGATCCTGGCAGCGGGGCTTCTGTGGGCACCAGCCGCACCTGGTGCAACCAGGAGGTCCAGGCAAGCCCCTGAAAGCGAGAGCTCCATCTTCGGCGGTGCAAGGACTTGAGTCATCTGCCTGGATAGGAAGGCAGATGCAACCGGTCCCTTAACTTAAGCAATGCCGTCGTACGTCGCAAATCCCAAGTCGAGGCGCACAACCGGCTGAAGTGTCGGAGATGGGGGAGCTCCTGTCAATTTTGAACTCGTCCGGGTACTATGTCTATGTGGGACTCAGACAGGAAAGAATTACTTCATGAGGTTCGGGTGCTTGACATAGGATGTGCACTTGAGACCGGCATATGAACAACAAATCATCTCCTGAAGGCTGTGCAGGCGGCCTTGCTCCATGTTGTGAACACGCCCAACATGGCGATGGTTGGCTGAGGAAGGAACGATAGCTGTGCCATAGATGCTGGCGACGTCGCAACCTCAATGACGAGGGAAACAGCATGTGCCTTCAGCTGGTGACACACGCGCTGGCAGGGAGCCCGGTGGATATGAGATTCATCATCAGTGGACGCTGTGTGCTGCCTGCCAAGGCATGCATTGCCTCATTATCCGAACATGCTGGCTGTTCAAGTGTGTGCCTGACCACCAGATCGGACGCTTTCCTGGTAACCCCATCCTGATGAGTACAGCGCAAAACGTCCCCATCGGCGCCGAAAACCCTCACAGGCCCTGGCTGGTATGGCTGGGGCATCCTCCAACTTGTCTGGCCTTTGTGCTGAGAAACCCAGGCTCTCTGGCCTTCACTGCGCTGCACAGAACAACTTAGATGGCCGCTGCATCTCTTGGCCTGACACCAGTGCGAGAAGAAGAAGCAAGTCGCAAAGCCCGAAGTTCGAAGCCGAACGCTTCTGCCACTTCTGCTTCTGCGCTCGTCTGCGCCTGTGGGCTCCGCTCGGGCTCGGCCTGCGCTCTTCCAGGCTCGCACGATCTCGCACGCTCGCCTCCGAGCTCGAGCTGGGACCCGGGCAGATGCTCTCCCTGAGCTTGTCGCCCCGCTGCGTCGCCTCGCACAAGGCTCCCATTCCCATGCTCCACGAGGTTTGGCAGCTCCATCTCCACTCATCTCCGCTCCGCTCCGAGGTGGCTGCTGGGGGCGACGAGAAGTGATCCGAGGCGCTCAAGGAGTTCGCTGACCTGCGCTTTGAAGCGTTAAAGGGATGCCGAATAGGCGCCTGGCGAGACCGAGGCAGCGGCACGCTACCTCCTGGGCTGTGGCTCAAAGGGAGGTCGGTGGAGGCTCCTGTCGCAGGACGCCAAATGTGCAGCCGGAACGCAGACGCAGACGGATGCAGTCGGATGCGGTTGGAGTCGGAAGCCTGCAGCATCCTCGGTCTCTTCCTCTCCTTGAGCATCTGCGCCAGACCGGACCGGAGACCTGCCAAAGCCAACTCCACTCGGCCCTCGACCACGAGACGAAGAAAAGCCAACATGTTACGTAGCATCCGAGGTCCGCGCATATCTTCGTCACTGGCACCTGCCTTCCAGTATGTACCTTGCCACCACTCCCACTGAAATCACTGAAACAGCACCCCCGCATGGAAGCATCGGCAACGCTGTCATCTTCAGTCATTATCATTAGCTACCCGAAAATAAAACGTATCCTTTTCATAGATCCCGAGCCTGGGAAGGTGCGGATAAAGATCTCCTCCCTCGACAGGAGGTTCATTGACAGCTCCTGGCAATGCGCATGCCGGGAGCGCAGCTTCATACCGCACCTGCCGCTGGGCACGAGAGGGAGAAGACGGGGATCGAAGAGGTGAAGACAACTGGTGAATGTCAGTGGCAGCCCGGTGCTGGGTCCTCTTCGCAGTCCTCTGTGGAAGCTTTGCGACGGCCTCGTCAGGAGCACCACAGCATCCGAGTCGGATCTAAGATGTGAGGAAGCGCTTCCATTAGCCCCATATCTTGCTAAAGCATTCTGCAGGCCAGGCCTGCACAAACTGGAGGCATTGACAGCAGGCTGGAGTTCTCGCACGCCGGCAGGGTGTCGACGTCACCACAGAGCTGATCAAGGATGGCAGAGCTTTGTTTTGCCGGGAATGGAATTGGCTTGAGAGCGAAGGTTTGAGATGCCAGCAAGGCCGGGGACGCGCCTGGTTTGGAGGCTGAGGGTTGACCTTGACACGGTTCGCCTCTGCAGTGAAAAAAGGCGGAAACTCTGACGGCAGTGAGACTTCCGGCCGGCCTGCGGGCCCGAGGTGAGGTGCTTCGGTGACTTCGGGTCCTCCTTGGACATGCCCTTAGCAAACACCAATCGGGACTCGAAAGACGGCCCAAGCACATCCTCTTGGTGCTGCGCCGCTGGCCCCCCTGGATAGGGCATGGCTCCCCACCCCTCCCGTTCCCGAGGATGTCACAGCCTTGTGTTTTCTTCGATAGGTCTTGATCAGCCTGAGTGAAATGCGGTCTGCGTCGTTGCTGGTTGTTGTAGGGCATTGTAGGGCTGTATTGGTAACGCCACGACGAATGAACGATACCTGCTTCGATTGAATGTAGTTACATGATACGAAAGTTAGCCACTCAAGCCGAGCCCGAAAAAGTCAGATATCACACTCGTTCCAAGGTGATCGCCACAAACATGCCTCTGCTGAACACTTCTTTTCAAGCCCCTTCTGTCTTGAAAGTAACAGATACCGAAAGTAGATATCGAAAGTGTCTTCATCCCACTGTTTTCACACACAGCTTGACTCGTCCACATCTGGTGGATCAGATGTGTTGTCCAACATGGCCGTCAATGTGCGTCCCAGAATGTTCAGTGACCTTATTCGTGCAAAACTCCCGGCTCTTCCGACATGGTAAAACACGCACTGCTGCAGTAAACGCATCACCCTCGGTGTCGGGAAAGTGGCAGCGGCAGGCTTGCCTCATTCCATCGCAGCATCAGCCTGCCTGAGCGCTAGCCATACTGACATCTCAGATGTAAATGCACTGCACGGTGCACAGTGACGGAAGTACGTCCAGAAGCGCGGCCAAGCGGCTCGTCGCATCGAAATCTGCAGTTCGAAGCGAAGCCATCAGGCGGGCAAGGCTGGGAAAGGTCGTCACATACGGCCTGCAGACACAACTCGAGGACACCACGGACAAAAAGCACTTTTCGCAGCCCCCGCCAGCGAGCAAAATCCGTCAGGCCGTATAACCTCGCAACACGTGCAGGCAGATGCAGGCAGCACTCGGCTTTCAAAAACAAATCCTTCAAAGGGCTTCGACAAGGGGCGAGAGAAGATGTGCCATGGTAGAGTTCTCCCCGAACCACGGCCAGTCCAAGGTAACGTTGGAATCAGATGGCAAGGCTACGGAGGAACCCTCCTCTCGAGCCTGCCACCACCCAAAATCAGTGTACTCCAGCATTCCTCGAGAACTGCCACCAAGGTTTGTACTACCGACAGTGTACCCGACCGAATGCTAGATCAAGTTCACATTCAAATCTGTTTCTGAGGGTCTCTTGATGATCGACACCACCCAGGCTTTGTCAGGCAGAAAGGTCGGAACTCCAATGGCGTAAAGCTCACTGAACAGCAGCATTCCCATATCCCAAGGAAAGTACACGGCTGCCCGGAAACGGCGGAGCTCGTGGTAGCTGAAAGGTCTGGCTATCCCAGCCACGGTCTCTGATGCTTCGCGACTGAGGCCAAGGAATACCTTTGCTGGAGTGAAGCAAATGTTTCAAAGTCCAAAAATGTGCAAATATACAAGCTTTTCACACCGCAAGTGTCACCGGGTGACAAGCCGTAAAGAAGTATCAGGCCGCAGCATGTCCTGTGCGAAGGCCTCCATCAGATGGACCATTGCTCCAGCACCGTCCCTGGCCCAGCCAGCCATTCTTCCGAGCAAGACTCTTGGATTCCGCGTGTCGGGGTCATACGTGGAGGTCCGAGCATACAAGGAGTGGGGCCTTAGGCAGAGAGGCCTCTGCCCAGTCTGGCGCTGCACCTGCCGTGCCAGGAACTCGCTGTACGCGACAAGTCTGGAACGTCTCGCATTCGCCACCTGCACCTCTCGCAGCTGCACGAGCAGCAGGTGTCGGAAGGCTTCTGGCGTGGCACCGACCAGCGGGAAGGCTTGGTAGAGCAACATGGGCTGGCTGGTGAGGCTGCGAAGGAAGGAGCACAAGGCCATCGGCTGCGCACAGAGAAAAAGATCCGGGTCTCCGAAACTGGGATCTCTCAAGCCTGCATGCAGCAAGTTGAGGAGATGCTGAGGTTCCCAACTTGGGCGATACATCTGCTGGACCAGAAGACGCACCGCAGCGTCAATGTGACGATTTTCTTCACAATGGCCAAATGACTCGCACATGATCTCTGGAAAGGGGTACGTGGTGCCCAACACGGTAGAAGCCAGTGGCACTCCTGCCTGAGCAAAGCATGCCTCGACCATGGACAAAGGCTCCATGTTGCTGCCCATGTGAGAGCCGATAACAACCATGCGAAAAGTCTTTGTGCCGAACCTCGTCTTGACAGCATGCAAGGGAGTCGTCAGATCTCTTGCTGAGAGATCCAGGTGCTGGAGCACGAGCTTTGATGGAGGTGTCGGCATGGAAATACCCTCCGATGCCAGACCATGCAACAGACGAAGTTTCGGGAGCCCGACAGCTGGGCACGAGGACGCGGACAGGCCGGACTCACTGCAAGCGGTCCACTGATCCTGAACCAGCCTCACGTCCAGAAGATGCAGCGGCCAGCGCGAGCTCTGGGAGAATTCCAAGGGACCCCAGTTCTCTCGAGTGTCCATGTTCACAAGAGGACCCCGCGTGATGCGCTTCAGGCATCGCTCAACTCTGAGCGAGGAAGCCTCTGACGAGATATCGAAGCAGTGCCAGAAGTTGGCAGTCATGACCCCATAGATGCAGGAAGTCTCCGGCGCCGGTGCTCTGCCAGTCCTTTTCAGCCATGGCGATCAAGGTCGTTGCAATCTGGCAGCTAGCTGTTAGATGCTGCTAGCCTAAGGAGCAACCGGCTGAACCTGCATGATCCTGCACCATGAGAATTTCACAGGAGAGAGAAATGCTGTGCTTTCGCTGTCCGAGGCTCAGTGGTGCGGAGAGCTCTTGCCGCGCCCTCAGCAGTGCCAAGGGTGTCCAAATCCGCAGCAGACGCCGGACCACGAGGAGCAGCGAGGAAGGCACCTTCACACCTCAGAGCTGCAGAACCCAAGTTGGCCAAGGGAAAGCGGCTCCCGAAAGCTGGTTGGGGCTCTGGCCGGCAAGGTTCAGGTGCTCTTGCGTGAGTTGCCGCAGTTCGGTCCACGGGGACACACCATCAGCTACCTGTGCGGAGCTATGGGCTCCCGCGAACTCAGAGGACACTTGGTTTCAGTTTGTTGAGACGAGGACGAGCAACAGTGTCAACAGATCATCAGAATGCTTACAACAGGGCTGTGATCCGCGTGCTGGCACTGGAGCGGCCTCACAGTCCAAATGTTTCGTGATGAGGTCCATGTGATGCAGATGATCCCCCTGTCTCCAGCAGCAATGCTTCCGTCAGCTCCGTTCCGCCATGGCCCGCCACGCGCAGAAAACGTGCCACTCATGCCCTGTGAGCCGTCTGCAGGTGCACCACAAGGTTCATCACACCCGCACAGCTTGTTAATTTCTCTGGGCAGTACTGTCTCATGTCTATGTCTGCGGGCGACCTTTTCTTCTGCAAACATGGGGTTGCCATGCTCGTGATCTGGCACCAGCTTCAGTGGGATGTCGCGGGCAAGAGGCATTCCAATCCAGTTTAGCCGAGAATGCTCCTCAAAGGCAGCAAAGCAGAAAGCCGCTCTCAGAGGGGATCGCTCCATCCGAGCCTTGCCGTGCTTCAGGCGCAGTGACACCGGCAGGCGCATGTCGTCTTCTCGGCTGGGTGGGTCGACCTCCTCACCAAAGACCTGAGACACGAACGAGCTGCAGCCCAGGCCTAGTCGAACCCGGCAGAACTCATCTCGCCAGGCGGCCACATGCCAGAGGAACTCGAAACCGTAGCACTGCGTACTCCGCTTTGTGCCCTCCACGCCGCATAGATCCACATCGCGCGAGCCATCAACCAAGCTCAACATACGGGAAAAGAAGTCCTGCGATAGGGGGCAGTCTTCACAGACTTCGAAGTCACAGGCTCTCAGTGCAGAGCTCCAGGCTGCGCTGCTGGACCGTCTCCCGGGACACTGCAAACTGGGCACAGCAGTAGGGCCCTGCAGGCGCCAGAGGGCGAGACAGGGCACACCACACCTACGACAGCAAGACATGGCCTACAAGGGCTGTGAGGTTCTCACCGAAGATCTCTTCGTGAACCGCTTGCAGGCATGGTGTGAGCGTCCGCACGTGGCGAGGACCATTCAAGGGAAGAAAGCCAACATCATAGGTGCCGGCCGCGATGCTCCTCAGCACCAAGTCCATGAAGTCCATGTGCAAGTGATCCATCGGATCACTCTGGAGGAAAATCATAAAGTCCGCCAGTTGCTGGTAGTTTGCAAGGATATGGGTCAAGTACGCCGAGCACTCGTCGCCTCGGGCTGCTCCTGCAAGAGGAAACTGCAGCGACTGTGATCTCGTTTTCTCTCGGGGTTTAGGGGGAGAGCGGGGAGGTAAAAACACAACTTCACAGCTCGGTTCTCGCATTCGCAGCGCAGTCGTATTGGTTCCTGCATTGGGGAGAAGTGATCCAAGCGAGTTTAGCCTCAACTCTGGAGGTAGGAACCGGCTCAAAGAACTTCCTCGAACTGTGCAGCCGAGGCTTGCTGCCAAGAAGAGTTGGCTTCCAGACTGGGAACATCTGACTTCAATCACATGGGAAGGGAATGGGGCGCATCGCCCTTTTGGGCCCCGTTTCAAGCTGGAACGGGCCTGAACCTGAGGGCCAGAGGAAAAGCCAAAGCAGAATCGACTTTGGGCCACCGAGCCTATGTCTGGCCGCGCGATCACACGCACTGCTTGAAACGGCCCAGCTGCGAAGGAAGCCGGGTCCGTCCAAGCCCCGCACTTCTCGTAAAGGAAGAGCCTGCAGCTGGGAATCTTCCACGAAAACAAACAAGCGACGCAAGTTCCGGCCTGGAGCCTGGAGGCATCTTTGTGAGCTTGGTGTGTAGCCAATCCAGCGGCTCTCTGCAGTGCGCTACCACAAAGTCCAGCCTGTTGGAATTGAATAAGGCCGCAACTGAATCACTGCCGAGGGCAGCGGCCGTAACGTTCGGGATCTCTAGCTACTGGAACGTATGTCCCTCCATCCCAACTGTACCCTGCAGAATCTGCAGCCAAAGATCCTTGCAGAACTGGCAGCGGGACCGTCCCAACATGCTGTGTTGAAGCTGCCCGCCGACGGCAGAGAGGTTCCTCGCGTCAGCGGAGGTCAGCGGAGTTCGCATCGGGCAGGCAAGACTGACTTTCGCCTTTCGCCCCTTCGAGCCTGTGACCCCTGAAAGCGCGGTGGCACAGGCTGAGGGCGCGCCGCCGAGCGTTGCTTGTGCAAGCACTGCTGGCACTGCGTCGCTGAGCCTGTCTTGGGCTGCCTGACTCGAACTGCGCCGCAGATTGTGGAGTCCAAGAGTGCGAGAGAGCGAGCGAGAGCAGCGAGAGCAGCGAGAGCGGGAGCATCGCTTGGCCTGCACCCGCTTCAGAGCTTTGCGCAGCGGCCAAGCAGCTGGTGCCGATGCCATGAGGTGTTGCTGGAATGGTGAGGCCTGTGAAGCACGGTGGTCCAACACCAGAAGCGACCAAAGAATTCCCTCTTTTCAGTCTCTACCGGCCTCCTTTGCGAGCCGAAGGCCCACATCGTGCAGGGAGCGTCCTGCCACTGCAGATGCGCCTGCAGATGTCTGCAACACATGAAAGGACCCGCCTTCTTCGGAGATGGCCTGTGCAAAGTCGTACATCACATCATCGCCAGGGTTTCTGAGAAGCGCGAAGGCCCGGTCCAAGTCATACCATGGCGGCGCTTGCAGCTGGACCTCGCTCACAAGCCTCGATGGCGGGGGTGGCAAGGTAAGACTTAAACACTCTTTAGCCATATGGGTGCAGAGTTTGCCCAGGCAAGAATGCCTCAGTTTGGGCAACAGCCTCCGCCTCTCTCGCTGCTACTAGTATCTTCTTTCCGAATGTTACCGGGGTACCGAAATAACAGTCTCTCGTTGCCGCGCGTTCTCGGAGTTTTTCCAAACTCGAGATCCTATGAAGGACATTGAACGGCGAACAAACATTCGGACCCGACAGCCAGAATGCATACAGTGCATAGTCCCCAGATGCCACACAAGCAACAACCACAGACTACATGGCACGACAAGCCAAACAGCAAGACAGGACAGGACAGGACACGACAGGGCGAAAGGAAGAACGGGCTGGCCAGAAGTCGACAGGAATCGAATCTGTCAGGGCAAGGAAAACTTTCCTGTCGAGCAGCAGCAGAGCAAGGATTAGTGGATTCGGGCAATCAGCATCCACTAAGCCCTGCTTGTAGTCCTGCAAGGAAACCCTCTCTACAGCGCGTCATACTTGCTGCATCCACACAGTCCTGGTGGAGCCGCATCAAGAAGAAGGCCTGCTTGCGACGCACCGAAGCACCGACTCGCTCAATGCCAACAGCCGCATTCAAACGAAGGCTGTCTGCCGCTGCCAGCCTCCAACAATGGTGGTCGGCCCCCAGAATTGTAGTGACTATCCAGCTTTCTCTGAAATCCAGCGATGGAGAAAACGTACTCCTTAGGATGTTGCAGGAGTCGTCACTGCGAGCCAGGTCGGTGTCTGCTTGAGGTCAAGCATCAGGACAGTTCGGCGCTGCGTTCGGGTCCGTCTGGCTGTACCTGAGTGGCTCCGTTTGACAGCCATGCTGCTCAGCCCCAGTCTGTTGCAAAAAGCTGCTTAAAAAGGTTTCTAGGTGCTCCAGCTTGCTCGCACCAGCTGAATTGTATCTCGGAGAAGCAACTCATGCAATGAATGCCTCGCCATAGGTCCAGTAGGAGCAGCGCGCCTTATGACGAGAGCCATAGAATCGACTACATTAGCAAAAAGACCTTGACAGACGGGCTGGATCTTTGAGTCCCAAAACTGTGGGAAACTCGGCATCCCACGTCTCCAGATTATCATGTAAGAGAAACAGAGAAGCATTGACAAGTGCCAAATGAGGAGCTCCATCGGATCCATGTCATGATGACAGCCACCGCCCATGATGCAAAGCATCAAGCGAGAACACCGTGCATGTGATCATTGCAGCGGGCTCTGAGGTCTTAGCTCACTTCTGTGCTTTGTCCTACATCATTGTGCTGCTACATAGCTACATGCGTGATGTTGCAGTAGCCTAGCGGGAAGCAAGTTGCCAAGAATTGCCAACCGGCCAGAAACATCTTGGAACTGTTGCTGCGGCAAAACTGCAGGTTCGTGCTCGGCATTTGACATTTTAGTTCGCATTTTTTTTCTTCAGCCGGCCGTCAGGACGCGCCAAGCCTCCTCCGCCGTCAGCGCCTGCTCGGGGAAAGGTGCATTCGGGAGAGCTTGCGGCTAGAGAGGCCGGAGTGGGGTAGGCGTGGTTTGTGGCAGGAAAGCAAGGAGCGGGAGGAGCGGCCGCTAACGAACACAGCAAGCTAAGTAAGAGCAGATTTGGCATGTGACATGATGACCTGCAACATGGCTAGCAGATGTTAGCAGTTCCGCCAGTGGATTCGCTCCTCGTCCTGCCAGCTCAACTTCATTAGCCGGATCACCTCGTCCCGCTGCATGATTTTCCTTGAAGCTGCATGTGAGCTTTGCCGCTAGAGATTTCAGACGAGCCTGCTGTTCGACTCTATTGCGAGCTGGGTGTCAGGATCTTCTTGCGCCCTTGGAGGAACCGAGAGAAGTCGGAGCCCAGCAAGTCAGCTACCAGTTGAAGCTCGGAGTAGCCTGGGACCTGGAGTCATCACCGTGCTTTTCGTTGCATCATGTTGCAAGCACAGGCCTCGTCCTCCACAGCTGCAAGATTTGCTGCTTGAAGGCTTTGGCGCACCATGGCTTGTGCAGATGTCAGCAGCGCAATCACGCTTGACACGTCCTCTCCGTCCAGGACCCAGGTTTCCATCTGAGGACTCGGGTCCGGGACTCGTGGATCTTTCAGCCCAGCCAGCACTTCTCGGAAATCGTCTGAGCCAGTGCCCCCACGGCCCCCACCCACGCCTGCAGCTCCCGCGAAGGTCTCCAATAAACGGCCACCAACGCCGACAACTCGCCCAACACCAGCTGCTAGATCCACCTTTGGCGGCTTTGACAGCGGTTCGTTGGCAGCCTCCAGGTGCCTTCGCACGAGCTCCTTGCAGAAAAAGCCGAGGAGCAGCAGGACGCTCTCTCGGAGCACTTGGGCAGGGAGTACTCCACAAACGCCGCTGCAGAAAACCTGGGAGGGGGCATCATGGAAAGAAGCCCGCCGGAGCGTCCCCCTCCCCGCACGATTGGCCTTTAGCTGCTGCGCGGCTGCGCCCAGGGCGGCCTCTGTGGCGACGTAGGCAGAATCCTCTGCGGCACCCCGGCCCAAATTGCACGGCAACAAGGCGGAGAGGAGCTGGTCCTTTCAGGTACAGAAAACATGGACGCGAATTGGAAGCCTGCTGCAGGATGTCAATCGAGCTCCTTCTGGTATCGCAGCATGCCAGTGAAATGCAGCTCCCCCAGCTGCCGAAGCTGGGGCACCAAGTCGAGAGTCACCAACTCGGCTGGATGAGGCCTCATGATATTTGTACACAGAAGCTGAGTCGACAAAGACGCATCTCATAAAAACACTCGCAACTGAAGACTTACCTCACGACAGGACACGTGGGCCATCTGTAGGGTAGCCAGATCAGAATGTTCACCAAGCACAGGACATCGGCCAGAAAGACTGAACAAAGCTTCGCATCCACTTTGAGTTGGTGCACATGCGGCCTTGCACGCCGTCAAGGAGATGGCGAGAGATTCAGGGAAGTTCCAAAACACCACAGCCACACCCCAGCCTCACCAATGCGAAGAGCATGCACAGTCGTCGAACGAGCTCCAGGGTCTCTTTCGCTTCCTGTTGTCCGTCCCAGGCGGCCTTCACGGAGCTCAAGATGCACCTGCAGTGAGATCACGAGCAGAGTGCGGCCATTGACACGTACGGCCCGCTCCTGACCAATCGCAGAAGCACCGACGAGACCTCAGGCTCCGCGATGCTCCGCGCACGCATTCATTATCCCCCCCTTCTTCCGTGACCAGGCCTTCGTCGGGAGACTCTGCTCCGGCGGCCTTGGGACCTCCGCCGACTGCAGCTCGGTCACCTCGTGGAAAGCATCCACGCTGACCTGCCATACTGGGCTCTGCTTCGGCAGCCCTTCTGAGTTCATGAACCTACAGTATCCTCCAGTCCTTCAAAACCGGCAATAGCGGCGGCCTACCGTACTTTGAGAACACTCGGCAATCCGACGTGAAGGCTGCCAGGCTGTGTCTAGCAATCTTCTCCCAAATCTGTTTCGACTAGCTTCCAAGTAACATGGAACGATTGCCACCAACCCGATGCCGAATCTTTACAAAGCAAGCCCCATGCATACATCTTACTGCCATGGGCTTGTGTGAAGAAAGCTGGTGGACGGTGTAAGGTTGGCCCCTGGCCATGTTGCCCACCCCTCGTGAAACAAAAATCTCATGCCAATGTGCTCATGCCAACTGGAACTGGGCAAGTGGTAAGTCTCGTGAGTTTGGCGCTCCAGCTTGTCCATCCCACGTTGCAACAGTGAAGCAGCACAATGCTGGTGCTGCGAGGGATCGGAAAGGTCGCATAGTGGCGGAAGGTGGAGGATCTTGGGACACCAAGACCCGGCAGGACGATTTCTTACGAAAGAGCGTCAGAAGCAGCCACTAACATCCGGCAGTAGGAACTGCCCCGCAGCAAACATGTTCCACCCCAGGTTGGATCAGAAACAGCAGCACGGTGTGTTACGGCCAGTGGGCCAGAAACTGCCAGCCCGAATGCCTTTGAGCCCTAACCCTGAGTCTCCGCTGGATGCGAACGCCCGTAGCTCCCGTAGTTCGAAGCATTTCTCATGCTATCGCAACTGTGAGTCTGGTTCCTCTGGCAAAACAGTGACAGGCAGGCCAAGTCAGCGGACTCGGCCTGCAGAGAGGGCAAGAGACGGCAAGACGATGCCTCCTCCACGCCCCGCCGTCCCCGCTTCCGTCCCCGCCTGAAGCCAGGCCTTGGCCTGGACGAGGATGGAAGCCCTGCGCGCCTCGTCCTTCGCCTCAGCTTTCAGCTTTCGCTGCGTTCTGCGAACGCTTTGTGCCAGTGCGACGTATAAGTTCTGCAGAATGCACTCCACTGGCTGCAACCGAGCATGGCGCAAAACTCAGTTGACGAACATGCATTTGCAGTGGACTCTCGGAAGCGCGGATGAAACCTTCAACACGAATGCTCTTCTGCTGGCCACATGTCACAGATCGATGGGCCTCCTCTTTACTTGTCGGCCGCGCCTCGCGACTGGAGACGAGTCTCGAACTCCTCGATGGCCCGACCCCCGTCGTCGTAAACCTCGAATTGGCCTTGCAAGCGGCGCTGCGCCGCCAAACCCGACCCCAAGTCGTGAAGTGAGCCAAGGGGCTCAGAAGCTGACGCGCGGCGTGGGCGTAGAGCCGAGAGCCCAAGGCAGCGTAGACCTCTGGGAAAAGGCCCGGTGCTTTCCTGCTTTAACAAATGAGACCAGTGCCATCGCGCTTCTACCGCCGCGCGCTGGCCTCCGGGAGTTGACCCGCCCAGCGCTCCGCTTTGAGGAAGAGCTCCAGCAGCGGCTGCAGCACCGCCGCGGCCGGGGGCTTCGGCGCTGCCTTCGCTGGCGGTCCTTTCGGCGGCGACGCGTCGGGGACCTCCTCCCAGCTGAAGCCGGAGACGCCCAGGTGGGCGCTTTCCTTCCAAAGCAACCGCCGGCCCGGCCCGAGCATCGCTCCCGCGGCCAGCAGCGGGCCCAGAAGCCTTCGGCGAATCTCAGAAGAAAGCCAGTCCAGTCGCCGGGCCCTCAAGCCTAGAAGCTGGTACAGACTCCAAACCTCCTGCAATCGCTCAGCGCTTGCGTTGCTTCCGTCTGTTCCAGAGAAGACCAGCTTCTGGAATCCAGCATCGAGAGCAGCCACCAAGCTTGCTCGCAGTCTGGAGTACTCAGACTTTGCAGACCGGATCATGTCGGGCTCCTCTATGCCCGTCGGCGCAGAGATCTCTGCCAAAGATGCGGCAACATTTTGCAGGCTCTCGGCGGCCGGAGTGAACCTGTCTCCTGACAGGTCGTCTGCCACTCGAGCAAGAATTCTTCGTACCTCCAGGAGAACCGTAAGGATCCCAACGCCCTCATCGAGTTCTGAAAGCTGGGCCTTGAGGTGTGAATGCCTCTCCGAGGCCTGCTGCACATCGCAGGCTTGCAAGGCCAGGACTGGTGCAACCGGAGCAGCCGGGTCGGCGGATATCGCAATCCCAAGATCCTCCTTCAAGTCCGCAACTCGCCGCTGCAATTCGCCGACATGGCCAGAAGCCGCCGAAAACTCTGCCCCTCGGGATCGAATCGCATCGAGCACTCCGACACGCGATCCGTGGACTTCTCCATTGAGCTGTTCCAGGGTCCTTGTCAAGGACAATATGTCCAGCTCAACCTCCTCGGAGGCCATCGCCAGCTTTTATGCAGTCACGATTAGACCATCGCAGGTTGAGTCATAGACTCAGCATTCTACGCAGGCCCGCCCAAGCGCGGATGATGCGACGCGAGTATGGCCTCCTGTATTCATTTAGTGATGAGGATTTCCCATAACAGAAACCGAGGTGCGTCAAAGAAATACCTATTGAACCTATGTAACCCATGCGGAGGTCCGACATGTCCTGTGGTGCTAAAGCTCTGGTAGATGCACATCATCTGCTTCCATCATCTATCATCTGAAAACCATCTGAAGCATCCACACGGTGGCAACAAACTGCATTGCAACTCGCATGATTTCCATGGTGGCATTGTGCTCCGCAGTTCTCATCGTTCCGCATTGGGAGATGATGTGGGGGTCTTCACGTGGCTCTCGCGTTGATATCAACCTATCTCGATCTTCAACTGCAGGACGCAATGCCCACGCAAAGACCACATAATTATGCGAGCTGGCATGGTTGGAGTGCTACGTGGAGCATGCTAGCATTGAACGAAACAGCCGGTATGCCATAGGTCTACTGGGCCCAGTATGTCTTGGAAAGGAATATGTTTAACATATCAATGGAGAAGCGCAACTATAGTCCGTGACCGCACAGAAACATGACTCAGCAACAATTCGCCATGCCCACTTGATAGGCAGCCCTGACAAATCAAAACTGGTTCCTGCGCGGCACATCCTAGCGACCTCAGCGATTTTGCTGGGAGCCGCAAAACTCAGTGTCATCATTGACCTCAGACGCTTCGCTGGCTCGGCCTCGCTCTCAGTCCTGAGCCCCTTGCCGAAAGCAGTCTCGCTCAGCACTCTCGGCGCCCGGCTTCACTGGACCAACCTTTCCAGACCAACATGCAGTCACCGGTCACATTGACCGGTCAAAAATTAAGGAGGTATTTGCGGTCTGCGAGGGAATCTGTTGTAGAGGCAAAGGCGCAAAATCTGCAGCTCGAAAATTTGATGGGCCGGATGGTCTCCCCGAATAAGGCTTCAGGGGCACTACAGCTGACTGCAGCATGAGATGATTTGCGGCCGCCACCGCAGCTGCAGCAATGTGCATCAAGGATCTCCGTCGCTAATTATGTGTTAGATTTTCGGTGGCATAGTGATGCTCATCTTGCGACCTAGTGCAGTGACACGGAGAAAGTAACCTGGCCTGCCAAAAGAGGACGGCTCTAGTGCCATCCTCATTCATGGTCAGATCATGACTTGTATCTGTCAGGCAGTCTCAACAGCTGAGCTGCATGCGGCTCGAAGAATGAGAAAGATCTGGACATCCAACTGCCTGCAGTGGAGGGGAGGGGAGGGAAGGGAAGGGGAGGGGAGGGAAGAATGACTTCTGTTCGGATTTCATTTCGGAGTTGCCATCCAGCACTCTGCGGATTGTCATCATGGCGGTTCGGGGCTCCTGCGCATTATGATGTTCTGTATTCTTTACAATAATTGCAAGGCTCAGGATTTCGACTGGACATGATTCCTTTTCGGGTTTGGGATTCCCTGATCACCCTCTTATAGTTTGGGATATGTTTTCCGTCACTCCATGAGGGTTGGGGCTTGCAACCCATCGCTATTTTCCAGTTGGATGGCCTCAGGTTTTGCGTTTGCAGTTGTGTTTTGAAGGCTGACGACCTTTGGCTGACAGGTCAAATCGCGAGATCGGCAAGAGCACAAATCGCCGAAGAGCACAGCTGCACAGAAAGGCCGAATGGTCGGATGGGGCCTGGGGCGGAGTACTCAATGCACGAACCAAAAACGACCTGTCCTAAAGGGAGGGTTTAGGGTCGCGAGAAGCCCAGTGTTGGGTGGGGTGGATAGTGTTGTCTGGCGGGTGGGGTCACAGGAGATACATGTCAGCGTGCCACCCATCGGGCCCGGGGTGGGCGGGGTTTGGCAAGGCGCGGTGTTGAAAGCGGCTTGTTCTGAAGTACAGCCCTCCTCCCTCCCACCCCTGCCCGGAGGGCGACTCTAAACCCGAAAAACCAGAGAAGCGCCGAACCCAAGCGCATGCCTATCAATCTTCTGAATCTGAATAGCATAGCAGACCCGAAACGATGCCTGACAACTTAGTGCGCCGTGCCCGTGTGCCCTTGAGCCATTGATCACCTCTGAGACAACACTGCTGCAAACTCGAGGTACATGCCAGTGAGATGCTGCGTGTCTTGGGTTTAGTTGCGGCATTAACCCGGCGAATGTAGCACAAACCCTAGCTCCCACCCTGCAGCCTTCGAGATGGAATGCCCAGGTAGGTAGTCATTAAACGAAATACCTTCGTCAAGTGGTGGACTACCGCTCAAAGCACACGGAGAAAACATTGCTTGCGGACGGCACGGGCCGCTTGTAAAACCGAGCAGCCGACTCAGTGTTCTGGCCGCTTCATTCCGCACTTGCGGCAGAACACGCTGTCGATAGCGTAAATGTTGCCACAGGCAGGACATTGTGTTGGTGGTCCCTGTGCAGGAGCTCACCATGCTCGTGGATCCTGGATTCAGGGCTCCATCCTAAAAGTTTTCGGGCTGTGCAGACTCGTGCACCTGGACCGCAGAACTTCCAGCCTGAGCCATGGGTCAGGGCTTCCACCGAGCAGGTGCAGATTCCTTCATTCAGGGAACGGCCGCCATCATCGGTTCCATGGGCACTGGAGTCGAGGTAGCGACGGTAGCGACCTCACCCACAGCAGTGGCATTATGAGCACGTCAGGCCTGAACCGCGGAGTCTGAGGTGCCAGCCGACGCTGCAAGCGGGGCATAGGCTACTTGCGTGGAGGGGTAGTAGACAGCTCCAGCCTGTGCAGATGCACCACAAGAATTACTACACGATGACAGAAGTCATCAGCCAGACTCAGATTGTTGCAGCGTTAATTGTAGCAAGAGCACCATGGCCTGAAGTCCCCCACAAGAGAACCCACAGCTTGGCTACTGACCATAGGAACTGGAGTTGAGATCATGCCGGTGGTGATCTCAGATGCAGAATACGGCATCCACTGCACAGCGTCAAGCTCGGTGTTAGCTCTCGGCTGGTTGGGCCACGGCTACAAGTCCATCATCCATCGGAGCTGCCTGGTAACCTCAAGGTCGCAATAATGTTGCTTCATTCACCAATGCCAGACACCATAGCTCGCCTTGCGAGGTACCCCCAGGCAGGAAGCGATACCTGCAAGGCACACTCGTGGATCATACTGACATACTGTAAGCACTGTAACGGCATCAGTGCGCACTGCTGCGAGACGATTGGCGCAGCCGAGACGACGGGCGCGGCAACCGCACCCAGAGCTGCTCCAGCCGTCAAAGGAGCCTCAAAGAGATCACACGCAGAAGACGCTGCGGTGGGACGCTGCGACGCGCTGCGACGCGCTGCGCTGCGCCGCGACGCACGAGGCAAAGCCTGAAGCTCCAGGTCTGCACCAGTGGAGGTCGGAGAGGCGACCTGCAAGCGTCGTGGCCAAGCGCCGGTCCCGGAGCCCCGGAAAAGAAAGAAGCCTCCACCCCACGCGAGGTTTTGAGTGGGACCGACCGCTTGTTGCCCTCCGACAAAGTCCAACCTCATACGCAAAGCTGCAGGCAACCTATCACGCTCACGCTGGCAGCGCAGCTAAGCTTGTGGCAGACGACGCCAGCGCAGAGCAGGGCCAGAATGGTTGCTGCAATCTGACACGACGGCTCGGTCCGCCGGATTCAAAAACATTACATCACATCTTGGCCGCAAGCCAACACCCACTGCCAGGTGCTGAAGCTGTCGTCTGGCTGGGCCACTGCCGAGGCATCCTGCTATGGAAGGTGGAACCTTTGCCAGTCGTACAGACTTGCGGGGGGCCTCCACGACGACCGTTCCCTCCACGACCTCCATCGTGCCGTTGGCCGCAATTTCCTTGGCCTTGATTTGGGTCGGCATGTAGATGGCCTGGCCCAGGGCCCCATGTCTGCGGAAGAGGGCTTGCAGAACTCCCCCCAGCCCGCCGTGGGCTTGATGCATTCGTAGTGCGGCGTGTAGAAGCTGAAAACCTTAGTAGCACACCCGTTTGTGAAATGCAAGCCGAATTTCAGACTTCGACGAACTGTCCACAACCCCACAACGCGGGCTTCAATCAGAGTAGATACCTGTTTGTGTTGGGCGACGAAGCCTAATCATGTGATGCTGGGTTGCGGGCATTCATGCACTCCGTCGGGACGACGATATCACCTGTCTTCCGACAGCCTGCAAACAGAATGAACCCACCCACGTTGATGCATTTGCTGATGCATTCCGAGGTCCCGGCAGGCGTTTCCTCTTCCGCAGAAATCGGAGCAGTAGCCTGCCTTCTTGCCGCAAGGCTCCCAGCAGTCCTGTGAGGCCACGCGGCTAGGCTGCTGCAAGCACATTGGGCGTGCCCCATCGAGAACCGCGGTCCGCAAAGCCGTGACGCTGCAGGAGATCGGGACCTTCCTGGGAAAAAATGCTCGACATACTTTAAGCAAATCTCGAAGGGAGTACGCTGGTGCAGTGGATAAGCTGCGAACAAACTTTCCGCCGACCATATCCAATGCGGTCCTCATCAACATCAGCGAACATCAGCTTTCTGCAGCCAGCACCCCGCGCCCGGCAACGCTTGCTTCTGGCACTTTGGGGTTCTTGGGCCAAGGCTTGAGTGCCTTCTCGCCCTCCACAGTTGCCTGCAGCGGCCACACCCATGAACTGCAAAGCCCCAGTACCAACAGTTCGGAAGATGGCCTGGGCTTCGGGAAGGCCTCCCACATCCTCGAACACGCTTTCGGCTGCCTGCAGGCAGTGTGAGAAAACTCCGGCATCCAGTGACCGAACACGGCCGCGTGGCCGCGTGCGGCGCGCACGTGCGCCTGCAGTGCCTTTTCCTGCGCCTCCAATTGGGTTGCGCCATAGTTGGCCACCTCCTAAGCAGCTGAGCTCAACCGCTAACCGCCCGCATTTTGCCAACTTACCCGGGCTGCGACGTAGGAGCCGGCAGTCGCCGCGGCAGACACGGCCTGCCGTCCAAGTCCAAGGCAAGGGTTTTGCTAGGCCGCACATTGTGGAAACGCGAGGTCAGCAAGACGCCGCCTGCTCCGCCACGGTGCCGTGGTCGTCTCTTTTCAATGCCGCAGCATTGAGCCCTGCCTGAATGGGACTGCTTCCGGTGCATGCGAAACCTTTTGACACCCAAGCTAAGTCTTATGCCAGCCTGAACAGAGTATGGCATCTTTGTTGTGCTTGCCCCGGTGTCCTCAGGGCGACAATGGCTATCTGAACGCAGCATCGCCTAGACTGGGCTGGCTGCATCTTGCTGAGGGCACCACCGTGGTCTCAGCAATGGCTGATGACTGGTCAGTGGCGTCCTGCACATCTGCAAAGCATGCAGAATCAGTGCGCTGATCTTGCCGAGACTTCTCCGGATCTCTTGGAAACCGGAAACCGCCGGTCCTTGGCACGGATGGCAACTGGAGCCAAAGGGGCCACAGTAGCCAAAGGAGGCAAAGGAGCCACCGTGGTCGCAGATACTGCAGCCACAGGAGCCACGGTGGCAGGAGCCACGGTGGCGGCAGGAGCCACGGTGGCGGCAGGAGCCACGGTGGCGGCAGGAGCCACGGTGGCGGCAGGAGCCACGGTAGCGGGAGCCACGGTGGCGGCAGGAGCCACGGTCGGCGCAGCAGACTCAGATGGACCAGGAGTGACGGCGATGTAGCCCGCTTTTGCTTGCTCCGCAGCTGCGACTGCAGGGATCATTGATGTCTCCGGTGTTGCAACACTGACCGGTGTGGGAGGCTCGGGCGTAGTCAACTCTGGCAAAGCCACTGGCTTGGGTGATTCGGGAGTCGTCAGTTCCGGCAAAGCCACTGGTTTGGGTGTCGTTACCTCTGGCAGCGCTGCAGTTGTGAGTACGACTCCTGCATCCGCTGCCAACATAGGCAGAGGCGACGGGGTCGTTAGCACTGCTGCCTTGGGCGCCGGTGGCGCCACAACCGCCTTGGGTTTCGGTGGCGCCACAACCGGGGGTACCGCCACAACCGGTGCCACAACCGGTGACACCACCACGCTTGGACCTGCCTTGGGCGTCGGTGCCACCACCACGGTTGGACCTGCCTTGGGCGTCTCAATGGCCTCGGCAACAAGCACCCACAGAGAAACCCACTCTCAACCTACGGATTGCCATACAGCACCCCCGTGAGCCCTCCAACGCTCCAACACAGCCCAAGCCCTCCTCAAACTCCCTCAAACCGCTGCGCATACGACACGACCGCCTACATGTGCACACTACAAGGATGGTCTGTCATCAGATCCCTCTGACGAAGTCCTGACAACCTCTGACGGCGCTAAGCCTGCCAATGATCTCCAAGATCCTGGCTGCACCTGCTCCGGCAGCCATTGAAGCCGCCACTTCCTCTTCGTCCACCTGTGCGTGGCGAGACATGCGCCAGTCCACGGCCACACTCTCCTCACTTGGCTCCGAACACCAAGCGCGGTCTCGGAATCGGCCCCGAATGGATTGATTTTCACCCCCGGCTTGGCCTCACGCAAACACGCCTTGCTGTCTGCCTTGCGTGCGACCGGACTTTCAGCTTCTTGGCTGCAGGCACTCAAAGATGGCTGGCATTGCGAGTACCAGTCATTCACAACCTCGACCAGCACTGGAGTCGGGCTGAAGCTCTGCAGAATCCCATGATTTCATCACAGCACACTCTGAGGTCCAAGCATTGCAGATAGCACCAACCTGCAGCATCGCACTCTGTAGTGGCATCGACGAAGCGTCGCTTACTCCGCGTGTCGGTGTGTTGTCCACACTTTTCCACAAGTTTCACAAAACAAGTGAAGAGCTGCAAACAAAGGGTATGAAGAACACCCCGCCGTTCAATCTTTCCCTTTGGCTTGGCATCAGGGCAACCCTCTCCTGGCGTTTGTGCGAAACAACATTGAATCTTGGAATGCGCACACCACAGATCCAAATTGGAGCTGATGTGTCAAGCCTAAAAATTACACATTTTCTCTGACACACTTGTTATTTGGGGAGGTTTTGTCATCTTCCAATCACTGGCGAGCCTGGCATTGCATGTAACCCTTCCAGTTCTTGCCGCCACACTGCGCATACCTCGAGATGTTACGCAATCGGAACGCAACGATCGCTGTCCGCATGCCGACAATGATAGCCGACAATGATAGGAACCGCACAGCTCCTGGACCCGCTCGTGGGGTGGCTTTACCTGAGTCAGGATGAGACGCTGGTCTCTGTAGTCGATGCGGGCAATACTTCACTTGGGCTCCAGCCACACTGCACTTGCAAATGCCGTCCTCGTCCTGCCCAAACCACAGATCCAACAAGCCCTTGATCGAGACAGAGCTAAGAAAATATCGGCTGGTCTTCGTGGCCTTCTTGAACTCGTAGTCGCAGGCCGCCGGGGTACTGTCAACAGCTCGAGGGTTGCCACTCTTGCAAGGGTGAGCTACAGAACACATCAGAACACAGAGCCCAAGCGAGCAAAGGGTGCTGGACGTCGCAGGAGTTGGGATGATGAGCGATGGCAGCACCCAAGCACTTGGGAGCACCTGAGCACGTTGCACGCCACTACATCCACTGCCTACACCACTGCACCCCCCTACCATCCCCTACATCCTCTCTAACCCAGGCTCTGACCAGGCTGGCGCTCGCAGTAGTGCTGGCACGTCGCAAAGTTGTCCTTCCGGAGGCCCCGTTACGTGTGAAGCACGCGTAAAGACGGGTCAAGGAACATGTGCACGATCCTTCATTTGCGGCACGTTCACTTGGCACTCGCCACAGGTTCGACCTGTGAAGCAGCGCTGACTGGGCTCAAGATCAAAGTGAGCCCTAGACATACGCTCCATTGGACTCTTCGGTGTTTCTGTCACTTCTCTTTCAAGATGCATCTCTGAGAGGGTCTGCTGGTGTGAGTCCACACGGCCAACGGCCCATAGCCACATTGCACCTGCCAGTCGCTCCCTTTAACAGCGAGCTGTGTAAAAACTGCATCGAGCCTGCAGGTTGGTGCCGTGAGTGAAGGAGCTTGGAAGAGCATGCGCGACCACGCGACCGCCCTTGCACAGGGCGCGAGTCATGCTGTGCAACAGAAATAAGACCCAGGGCACGAACTGCAGAGTTGCTGGGAGGAGTCCAATGCAAAACAAAAGTGGGCACACGCCAAAGTCTTGTAGTCTCACAATGTCTACCTCCTGCCACTACTACAGTAGTGCTCCTGCTCCTGCTCCTGCTCCTGCTCCTGCTCCTGCTCCTGCACTACGACTACGACTACCACCACTACTACTGCTGCTACTAGCAAGATTACCACCACTACCACCATCACTTCCTCTTCTTCTACCTCCACCACATCAAACTTCCGTACAGTAGTTCTACCTCTACCTGCACTTCCTTGCCGTCCACCATTTCTTCATGTGACATGTGAGGAATGTTAGGACTAGTCTCCCCATATATGTACCCAAAGTCTACACCCACCAACGGTCTAAGGAGCGCTTCCGGGCCCAAGAAAGAAGACGATCCGGAGCTGCCTCGCAAGCTGCCATCTTCCACAGCCCCGTGGCCTCGGTACAGAGAATCGCTCTTCAGATCTGAGAGAAGACCTTCGAAGCCGGCACATCCGAGCACCGAGTCCGAGACATGGAATGTCTGGAAGGCATGTCCTCAGTCTCAGGGCTGCCAAAATGACCAGTTCCACGCACTGAGACCTCCCACGTGCCTGCACCATTGACGACGTAATCGTAAGGCTCGCATTTGTTGTCGTTCTGCGAGGTGCATGCCCTGGTAGCAGTCCGAGCTGTAGATCTGGAATCTAGGATCTAAGGTTTCAGCCGAACTCTGGTGCTCAGTGGCAAGCCCACCACCACACCACACACAAGGCTGTCCAGCTGCCTCGCAAGCAGCAGATGCGTACTCAAAGCCCGTCCTCTCTGACCCAGGATGAGGCAAAAGCGCGCGCGTGCTCGACGCCATTTACAATCGTAGACTGCCCGGGCCCAAGCCTTGTAGCCAGCAACGAACTCGTACGGTCGACCATCCAGGCTGCTGAGGCACGTCTGCTCATCCTGCACGGTGCACAATCTACAGCCTTGAATTCTTACGGAACGGCACTGCCACTCTGCCACCCCAACAAGAGATCCTGGATGCTGTTGCATCCGCTGGTATGTTTGGCCAAACACTGAACGTTGGAATGGTCCATCGCAGCATCCGAGTCCGCCTGGCAAGCACATCCACATCCCTCGTACTCGCGCCTCCATAAAATCTCAGATGTCTTCATCCCCTCCGACGAAGATAAGGCTTCTGAATTGAACAGGAAGGCTTTTCCGGTATTGCCTGCAGCCACTATGTATTATGAAACTGTTCATGCTGGTCCACAGGACAATGCACGACGTCCAGGCGACACGTATCATGTATTTGTGGATGCCTTGCAATCAGCCACAATGAAGTTGGCAGTGGCCAGGTTTGTGGTAAAGGCCTCAAGACTCTGGTGCGGAGCACAAGCAAATCCAGCACTCAACTCTTTGCAAGGTCTGAGGTTTCGACCACACCCTCACCTCGCACGAACCAGTCGTAGGGGGCGCATTGAGAGGCAGAGTTGCTAGTGCAGGGCCTCAAAAGATGCTTGCGGCGCTGTCACTTCATCTGAAAGCGATAGTGTTTGAGACCCCGGCCCGTCGGCGCACCACACGCACGGCTCCCCCTGGATCTTGAGGCCAGCCACAGCAACCTTGTCGCTGGCATCCTTGCTGCCTCGGCAATGGTTCAACTCCAGGGAGGCTGTGGTGGCCCTTTGCTACACCCCTATGAAGCTAAGTCGTAACTTAAGCAGTTGCTTCCTTTTGACATTGCCTTCCCGCAAACCGACTAACCGTGAGGAGCGGATGGTGGCGAACCGGGAAAAAGTCGGAGGCAAACCAAGAAATCAAAAGCCTACTTAGAGATGAGCGGCAAATCTCAAACCCTTGACAGAAGGGGATCCTGGCAAAGCCCAATGCCCAATGTGAAAAAAACTCCAAGCCCAGCATACGCCCTGAAGGAGTCTCTGGTTACGTGGTTCATGACGGGAGGCAAACCCAAAGCGGTAGCGAAACCCGAAAACTCCAACAGGACAAGAGAGGGGGGTGCCAAAACCCACCCGAAACCTGGGTAACTGTGGTTCGGGATGGATGGCAAACCGCAAACCCCAAGAGCGAGAGTGGTGCGGAAATCCCGACACCCAAAAAGCGGTGATTGGCTCTGGGGTGGGAAAGCCGTGTGTCTGAAGGCACGTGGAGCAAAAAACAACCCAGGTTTTTGCTAAGAAAGCCCCGGCCAAGGGCACCCCAACAAGAGATGGTTGACCTTGAACCCACAGTTTCAAAAGAAATGATCCCCAAACCTACAATCGATGTCTGCAGAGTCACAATCTTAATAGGGTGTAGCCATGAAAAGTGGATGGGTGGCAAAGCCTCAACCCTAGGTATGACGGGTTCCCAAGAACCACAAATCGACACAACAGGCGAAACTGCTCTTTTTTCTACTCGTGTCAACGGTTTCGACGACTCAGATTGCCAGTCCGCAAACGACAGAATCTGTTTGGTGCCAAACCCAAAACATGGGCTCCACCTGAAAACTATCACAGGAGATGATGAATGCCAAAGGCTAAACCCTAAAAGGAGCTCGTGCCGGCAAAGTCCAGAACCCTACCACAAAAAAAACAAACAACTAAATCCAATAGGAGTGCCTTGTTCCTACCAACACTACAGAACCGAATGGTTGCAAGAAGCCCGAAACCCTTGCAGGAGATAAAGCATGGCAAACCAAAAGGAGGAGGAGGTGGCCAAGCCGAAACCATACCCGTACTGGCATACTCGGAGATGAGGGGAGATGAAAGGTACAACACCCTACGAGTAAGCCCCTCTTGTAGGAGAAGCTGAAAAAGTCCCTACACCGCCCTGCAGCCCTCAAAGGCGCGGAGTGTGCCGGGATGAGTTCAGAGTGGCCCTACAAGGACTGGAACACGGTGAAAGGGTCCACAGCCAGGAATACCAAAAAATGGCGTGGTGCCAGTGCGCTTCCTTTGGAACTGACGGAAATTTGCCGCATTTACTGAGCAGGCAGCTCAAGCAATTCAGCCTGTCGGAGACGGCGGAGCATCCAAGACCCTGCGAAGGGATAGCATTACTCCAATCCGATCTGAAATTACACCCCCCCAGGTCAACAGAGCTACCGTGCCTCAGTTCTCAGGCACTTCATGTTGGCCTGCAGGCAACAGATTAGTTGATTTGCTGCTCGTTGCCCTTCTCGCTCGCCGGATCTTCCGACTGGCCTCCGATGGTCTTGGCTGAACAGTCACCGCCTGAGCGGAAAGGTGCACGAAACCCCCTGCTGCCCCCTCCCCCCCGCTCAACATACACTGTCTTCCCAACCTTGCCGAAGGCCGGATTGCATTCGCAGATTGGGGCAGTGTCAGCAGGGAATGTGTCAGAGCAAGCCATCGCCGTCCTGCTGCTGTGCGGGGACGCAAGCTCTGGGATCACAAGCGCCAGAGCCCCAGATGTGCAATCTGAGCTCTCTGCTGCTCATCGCAGCCTCAGCTCTGAGATTGCTGCACTGACTCCGCACTATCGTGGCTCACACGATGAACTCTCGGAGGCCGCGGCTGTGCTTGGCACCCTTGAATGCTGCTTTGCAGGTCAGGTTGCCTTGGTCCAAATGACGCCAAGGCTGCAAGGCGCCGCAGTGAGTCAGCAGAGCTAAGCTTTCAACCGGGCTGGGCGCGACAGTAAGTGTCGCAGTTCTTGTACCCGGACGCTGCCTTTCAAAGGGGCGAGGCAGTGCGAAGCGAGGCCACGCCGAGTGCGCCAAGCGAGGCCGCGGCCATGGCGGCAACTTGCACTTTGCAGAAGCCACATTCTTTGCCTGCGATTTACGCGGTCTCCGAGTCTCCGAAACTTCCAAGACCTTCGAGGCACGGACCAACTTTGAACCACACAGGCTCTGGCGTTCCGCAGTTCACCTCCACGAATGGCGGATTTAGCTCAGACTGGTGCACAGAGGCCTGGACATCCACAGACCGGGGCGCTGACATGAATCGTTTGTCCATAGTTGGCGAAATTGCTTGGAATCTCATGCTCGACCGGCTCACCATTCTGCCATCCGATTTTAGTCTAAGCAAATTTCTCGGAACTGTGAGTTGCGGCCAATGCCTCGCAGGTAGCAGTGTACCAGACGGCACCTGGATCTCATGAGCGACGATGAAATAAAATGGGCTCATGCCAGCCAGAAAGGAAGACTGTGGAAAACCTTTTGAGTTGGCCGCTCTCCGCGCTGTACTTCCCGAACTCATACGGCCTGAGACAATTTGAGACTAGAGGACTAGCACTCAGAGATCTCAGGTGGGAATGGGATGCCGTGGCTGTAAGCTTCCGTAAGCTCCTGGCTCGCAGAGGTTGCCGCCACTGGTGCAAGGCCTCACCGGAAGGTCGCTCTGGAGCTGAAGTGCAGCCGCCACAACGCCTCTTGCTCTGTAAGCTATTGGCACGCCACCACACCAAATGCACGGCTGGCCCTCAACCTTACGGACATGCGTCAAGAGCCCTTCTTCGCCACCAAGGCACATGAGGCTCAAGAATCACCTGTTTCTCTACCGTTCCTTGTTTTCTCGGGTAACCACGCAGCGGTGTCAGCATACCCTTTGGAATCTTTTGCAGCATCTGCTTGATGAGATGAAGCAGCTTCAGCCCAGCATCCACGGTGTCATGAGACACCCGGCATCTAGTTAATATCTGACTTAACTGACAGAAAACAACCATTTAACGAGCAGAAAGACTAACTTGAGGGTGATGTCACAAAGAAGATTTTTGGAGTTTGGAGCTGTGGGGTTCACTAAAGGTCTTCAAATTCCTGGCAGAGCCACACTGCTCACAACATCTCACAACTCAGCTTCTCGTAGTGTGGTTTCGTTCTACCCTGCCGTTGCGCAGGTAGTTGCTACATTGGGTGGAGTCTCCCTACTGAAGCAGTTTGTGAGTGTTGGCGGTTGTTTCTGCTGGTAGATTCTCGGATGCTTAAGAGGTGTTTACATGTTGATGCATTGTCTAAGCGCGGCAATGCTGTTTCCTACGAAATGCGGTTTCACGGTCAAATCGTTTCATACACTCGGCACACCTCCCAACATTGATCACACATGTTCTACAATAAGAGCACGAATGTTCCCTGCAGTGCCCTTGGGCAGCTTAAGTTCTACTGGACGAGGCACTCAAGCGCGGGATGATGCGAAAACCCAAGCCAACGACACAGGCCCAGAAGCGCCCCTGTGTCCAAATGCTTGGCGAGTGAGTTCAGCACATACCGTCACTCTGATTGACTGATTCATTGACTGACTGACTGACTGACTGACTGAATGGCTGACTGATTGATTGATTGCTTGGCTGATTTGACTGACTGAATGACTTACTGGTTGATGAACTGACTAACCGATTGAGTGACTAGTTGGAAGCAAGCCCGTTGAACATCCCCAAGAGCGGAATGGCTGTCGTTGGGCGAACCGCTGACATTTGCTGAAACAGGAATGCGGGTAGCAGGCCTCGGAAAATGAAGCTGAATTTGAGCAGTTTATGGGTCGTTGCTGACAGGACAAATCAAAGAATGTTCGTGTGTGGGGATGGCACTGAACAGCAGTTTTGCAGAAACTAAGGCCGAATGCCTTCAGCAGGTCTTGTTGGGCTCGGTCGGGGGCTTCAGGAGCTTCGGGAGTGGGGCCAGGGACACCAGCAAAGCTGAAACCGCTCTAGATGCGTTTTAAGGCTTTGGCTGGAGCACTGGAACCTAAATTCAAGCATTTCGGGGCTGTCGGGACGGCATTGAACACCGGCCGAGTGCTTGTGCAGCCCTGGGAAAGCTTGGTCGGGAGCTTCAGGAGCTCATTCTCGGGTGTAAGTTCTGGGCTCCCGCCCTAAACCTGCCATGGACCGCCCGGAATCCACCGGCAACCCGCCCGGAATTTGCCCCGCACCTTGCCCAAACTGCACCAACCCGCTTTTCAGCTGAAGACAACAAGGCTATCGCTGCTTGGGGAACAAAAACTGATTGACTGATCGATTGATTGCTGGATGGATCGACGGATTGATTGACAGACTGACAGACTGGCTGACTTACAGACTGGCTGACTGACTGATTGATTGATTGGTTGATTGATTGACTGATTCATTGATTGGTTGCTTGAGTGGGTGAGTGACTGACTGATTACCTGACCGATAGATTGCTTGTTGGGCTGATTGCCTGATGCAGTGATTGATTGGATTGCTCTGAAAGACTGCTTGATTGATTGATTGATTGATCGAGTGCATGTGGTTGCCAGCACCCTTGCTTTGCGAGGCTGCTTTGCGAGGCACTGGTAGCCGGAATGTTACTTGGCAGTGAGCTCAGACACACTGGCATCACTCTCTCCGTTTGCTCTGGTGGGACACTGCCCAATTTTCATGCCAAGGGACCTTGAAGCCTCGGATCTGCGTGTATGGCCGGCCATCGTAGCTGGCCAGGCATGCTTTCTGCTCCTGCCGCATCAGTTCGCTGTGCAGAAGGCCATGCAATGAGCAACAAGGTCGCGGCAGTGCAAGGCGAGGGTTTAGGAAGCCCTGGCTACTTCAACGCGAGGCATTGCAGTCTAAGCTTAGAAAACATTCAACATCGAGACAAGGGTGCTTCGGAAAGAGGAGCCGGGCCAAGCCCGTCGTCTTCGGGGCTTCCTGGCAGAGGGTCCTGGATCGTGTTGCATCCCTCCGTCACCCGCTTCAGGCACTTGGTGTCGCCGAAGGGGCGGTGATGAGTCTGGCACAGATGCTGACAAGTTACACCACCGATGCCTCCCACTTGCACGGAGCCTTGCACTTGGCAACCTCAGCCGCGATAGGAGCTGCCTGGCAGAGAACGTCGTTTGCATCTTGCCCCTTCCTTCGTTGTTTGCTTATTGTAAACTCGCAAGCTGACCCGTACCGTGAAGGCCTCGGCGGCGGGACATTTGCAGTCACTCTTGAAAGTCTTGAGCTCCTGCTTCTGCACTTCACTGGGGCAGCTGCCAGGCCCTGGCCCCGGGCCAAGAAGTCGTAGGGAACGCATTTCGAAGCGCTGTAGTCCGTGCAAGGCCTCGGAGCTTCACGAATCCAGAAGGCCAACGCGAGCACATGCCGGGACCACTACCCTCCTGCGCACCACACGCAAGGCTCTCCCTGAACCTTCAGGCCCTTGATGTCGGTCACGGAGCTGCCGTCCTTGTTACCTCGGTTCGTTGTGAGGATGTGAAGGAGGACGAGACGGCACGAACGCATATGTTTGGATCCGGCCGAGGCAGTCCAGCTCGTTGTCCAGAGCACTGCAGCCCTGCTCCTGGGCTCTCTCTGATCTAAGCAACGCTCCCTCAGAATTTGCTTCCTTTCAGGCACCGGCCGCTGTGTACAGGCAGGTGAGCTCAGCCTGCCCCAATGCGACGCATCTTGAGGCCAGCTGCATATGCGTCCATGCAGTAGACTATCCTAGAATTTCTTGGGTCCAATGCTGGGTGAGCATTCAGCCGCAGCATGGATCATGTTCCCCGCAAATGCAACTGAAAGCAGCTGACTCACGGTTATGGTAGAGTCTCCTGACACAATGTCCCAGCAAGCGCACATCTGCTGCCAACCCAAATCCCGCGGACATGCCGCCTGTGCCTTTGGAAGCTCACGGGGCAGATCAGCAACCCTTTGGGTACGTGCAGTTTTGCGTCATGGGCCCATCAGCTGTTGCTTGGAGTATGTTGTGCTGCACAGCTTGCTGTTCCTTAGCAGCTAAGGCTCAGCCTGGCTTTCTCTGTGTTCTCGAACTTCGACTCGATGAGGAATCACTAAAGGACTGGAATCAAGGCTGGGCGAACCTCTGCCGGGCGCGGCAAGTCGAAGGCCGCCGACGAGGCAGCCACCTCACGGAGTGCGGCCAAAGCCGACGCGACTCTTCGGTGCGGACCGTGCCGGAGTTCCGTTGGGCATGCCACCGTGGCAGCTGGAGGGCTGCACTGGCACACTGGCCACTCTTCATCCGCAAACTCTGCAGCGCAGGTTTTGGTGGACCTTCGTTTCGAACCGCCAGAACACTACTGACTCACTCCTGAAGTATCGTCATCCCTGCAGTCTCAGGCAATTGCGCGACGTCGCAGCCTCCAGAACGCTAGACGATGAAAAACTTCACTGCGCTTTGTAAGTTCCCAAGCACTATCAAGTGGCATGCCCCGGTTCTGAATCCAGGAGCAGCGCTGTACGGGTGTGCCGACCATGCCCCAGCACAAGTGAGGTTGCCTCAGTCGCTTGGAGAGTGTGTGAACGCCCCTGAATCCTGACGCGAAGGGGCCGCGACCCTGCCCCTTGCAGTAGGCGTCGCAGGTCTTGAAGGTGGAAGCAGCCTGGCAGAGAGCTCGAACCCGAACACGAGGATTGTGCTGGTGCTCATCCGCTGCCCCGTGCTCGCCTCCTTCGCCACCTGGACCTTGCAGAATCCGCACGTCTTGCCTCGGACTGCTGTTCTAGTAGAAAACGGCAACAGACGAGCGACATCGAATCTGAGGGTTCAGGCCGACCTTGTCCCAAGTCGGGTTCGGAACTCCGCAGTCCACCTGGACCACGGCAAGATCTGACGTGCGCATCGTCTTTGACACCCAGCCTGAAGCGGCAAGCCGGCTTCCACCAGGGCAGACGAGACCCTGTGTTCCACAGGCTTGCCATCCTGCGCGGGAGAGCTTCAAGGCTTCAAACATGCACGTGTATGGCCGTGGAAGGCCCTTAGCCTCGCAAGCAGCAGTGAAGAAAGTGCTCTTTGCAGCTGATGCGTCGAAGGCATGACCTGATAGCCAAACAGCACACGAGAATATACATCCAATCGGAGATCGCCCTGTTATACTGTGGTGTTTGACATGAGGATAGGACCGTCTCCCTGCATCGCATACTCGTACGGCTCGCACATGGTCCCCTTCTCATGGCAGGCCCTTGCCGAATCAAAGCTCATCAGTCACCAGCCACTGCAAGCAGCACTCTGTGGAAGCCAGTAAGCTTGACACGTTCCGCCACACCAGACGCACGGCTGCCCCTCAACCTGATGCTGACTCTCAGCGAACAAGTAAATATAACCAGAAGCCGCATGCAGAAGCCTTGAGGCCAGCGATCTGCGCATAAGGGCGGCCATCAACGTGTGACAAGCAAGCATCCTTCTCCTGCCAGAGTGACATCACACACGAGCAAGCGCCAGAGCATGTTCAGATCCCACCGTGAGACTGTGGCAGCCATCTGTTGCCCGAGCGAGGCAGCCGACGTTTTCCCAGGTGCGGCTGGCTTCCTTGACGGGGGCTAGCGGCTAGCGGCTAGGGCCCAGAGACAAGCTAGCTGCAGTTCTCATGTCTGCCTTGCAGTGGGCCACATCCATCACAGAAGCAGCCTGCGGCAAGAAACTGCACTAAGGCTCTCACAGGCAACCCTGCCAGCCAAGGCCCTGGCCTGGCGGGTCTCGAAGGCCTGAGTGGAAAACTCTCAATTAAAGCCGTGTGTCCGCGAGCGATGGAGTTCCTTCCTCTGGGGCGCCCACCAGTCCTTGACCCCCCGCGAGGAAGTCGTAAGGGGCACACTTTGCTTCGCTGTGACTTGTGCAAGGCCTGAGCACGCGACGCAGCCAAGATACAGCCCTTGCCTGCAATGCATGAGGCCTGAGGCCCAAGCGCGCCCCCGCACCACACACACGGCTCACCCGCCATTTTCAAGCCACGATAGCTCTCCGCGCTCGCGTCCTTGCTACCTAACACAGAGAAGGGCATGAGGATGATGCGTGTTGATGCGCCGGTCAAGCATCTCAGCTGAGGCACTCAGGCAAGCGTCCCTGCTCTTCAAAGCGCTGCAACCCGTCTCCTTGAAAGCGTCAAGCATGCTCAGAAGGGGGCAGAAGCGATTTCCCGCTGGCGCTTAGCTTAAGCACCCAACTGCTGGCGTGAGGCACATCGTCTGAGCCTGCTTTGAAACATAACATACATAATGCTTCAGCGATGCAAGCCTACGGCCAAGCGATCTCGTATCCCTTCTAGCTGCACTGCTCGACACGCCTCATCCGGACGTGCAACAGTCTCCGCAAATCTCCCGTTCACATCGTTCTCCTGTTCGAGGCACAACAGATAAACCTTGACAAACCCAGTCCCTCCTACACCTTGCAGCCTCTCCCTTGCTTGGGTCTCGTCTCCAACTGGCCTTGACGCTGGGCGCAGCGCATTCGCAGATCGGGGAGACGTCCTTCGGGAACTCTGCAGTGCAGCTCATCGCTGGCCTCGCCGAGGAAACACCCCACCATAACGAGTTGAAGTAGAAACATGTGGTAAGGGTCACACCCAAGATCACAGCCTGCAGCTGCAAAGCTGCAACTCGCTGCAAGGTGGTCCCACTCACCATCAGCACTCTGGGGCCACTGCTATGAAGACTTCCTGAGAAAGCCTTCGTGCATGCCATACCTCCTGCGCACAAGACTCATGGCACGGAGAGTCGCCCTGCATCGCGCAGAACACAGCATGGGAAAAGTCTCGCGAAGCTCTGAAGGCTCTCCTTGTGCCTGCCGGGACAGCAGGTCAGACTCAGAATGGCTTGGAGGAGGGTCCAACCTTTTCGACTCCTTGCTCTTAGTGGCATCCTGCCTGGCAGTAGGACTCGCAGTTCAGGTAGGACTTGGCCGCCTGGGCATGGTCCGCACCAGCACCGGAAGCACGCGGACTCGGTCGGGTCGGGTCGTGTCCCCGCCGAGCCTCCGTGGCTACCAGGACCTGGCAAAAGCCGCACGTCTTGCCTCAGGCGGAGAGGTGAGGCGAGGCGGCAAAGGGCTCGAGCTTGGCTCGAGCGACTGGCTGACTCCGCGCCAGAGCGGGAAAGGCATCCCGCAGTCCACCTAATGTTTCGAAGGAGGGTCGGTCCCACGGCGCTTTTCCAGGAAGGAGCAAACCGAGGTCGAAACGGCAGCAGTGACTCCGGTCATGGCAACGGCGCTGCTCATGGTGTGCTGAACAGGCTCTCCAGCCTGGTGCCAGAGTCACAATTCTAGAAGCCGCGAGTTGAGTGCTAAGCCCGATGTGCTTTCGACCCATACACATCTAAAAAATGAAGCAACGCCTGACGACGATGCAGGTGGAACGCAGGGTGTATCCCATGCTGTCACCTAGGGACCCTCCGTATCGATGGAAGGTATCGTTACCCTGGATGCAGGCCAAAGGATTGCTCAAGCCTTTGTCTAACGTAGGCCAGCCTATAATGGCAGCCAAATTAGGAGGTGAGATGCAAGGATGGATGCACCGCACCATCCGAAATGAAGAGCCTCTGCATCGACCCAGACTCAAATCCGACACCTCAAGTAGATTTTGACAGTTTTGCTGAGCCTCTGGTCCTACTGAAACAGCATGCAAGCACATCACTCGTCCTCACAAGCCTCTGCTCCTACTGAAACCAAACAAAGAAAATCGCTCCTCGCAAGCCGCGGAGTAGTAGTTGTAATCATTGTTGAAGTCATAGGCATGTCCTGGCTTTGACGATCGAAAATTTATTCAAGCCTCGACTGCTGTAATCGAAAACTCCCAGCCTTCGCCGTGGGTCGCAAACTCGTAGGGTTCGCAGAGGTTTCCGTTGTTGGAGGTGCAAGGCCTAAGTCGGGACCCCACATATTGCAACCCTGCGTGGGAAAGGTCTTGAGAGGTCTTGGGGCTGAAGGCAATCCACCGCACCACACACACGGCTGGCCCTCCACCTTCAATGTTTGGGATTGGCAGGCGAGCAGCAGGAAAGCACCTGGCCCCACAGCTGGGCTGGCCTTGAGTCCCGCGACTTGAGCGTAGGGACGGCCGTCGACGCTTTGCAGGCAACTGTCTCTGTCCTGCCACACTACTCGGCATGCGTGTCCCACTAAGAAGCGACCGGAAAGCTAGCGAATCGGGCCTTGAGGGTGTTGCATCCGTCTGATACGCGCTTGAGGCAGGTGACATCGCCGAAGTTTCTCACAGATTTTGCCTGCGCACGGTCAGAACGGAAAAGTAAACAGTAACGAATCCACGGGAGAAACACATTACGCAAAACCATGAAAGTCTAACATGGCAGGTACTGATTCATTCGTGATGCCTTGTCGCAGCCCGCTACATCAACGGAGGGTGCAGCCTCAGTTAAGTGTAACGAAAGGAATGTGTGCGACCAACACCAACAGCAACCCCTCCCTTGCCGAGATGATAGGGGCACCACGACGTGGCGGGTGGCATACGCCTGTCAAGTTCCAGTATGGTCCGCTAATCTTCGCTCCAAGCCGTTGTGGCTTAAAGGCTGCACACAGCACCCTGCATCGCATCTGAGCCCTACACAGGGCCCTGCCCGTTGACAAGGAAGTCCAAAGCCACACACATCACGCTGGGATCGTGCGATGTGCAGGCCCTCGCTGCATTAAAGAGCAAAGACTGGCGCGGTCCCTGGTTGCAAAGCTGAGGTGCGAGCACTCCACCACACCAGGCACACGGCTGCCCGGCAATCTTCGTCGAGCGGTAAGTTGCATTTGGGCTTCCGTCCAGGCTGCCTCAAGCGATCGAAAAAGAGAGGCACAGAAGACACACTGTGGCACTTTGGCATCCATGGTGCTGAGGCAAATCAGCTTGTCCTTGATTGAGCCGCAGCCTGTGTCCTCAGACGAGAACCGCATTTTCTCTGAGCGCTCCGGGGAAAAAAAGCTCTGGGGAAGCAACCACAGCGTTGAGGCATTTCATGTCATCAGCCTCCCGCACTCGTGTCACAATGCACGGGGTGTTCAACAATCGAGCCATGCTGAAGACCGGAAGGGGCAATCACAAAGCACAGCCGCCCACCAGCCAGCTCCCGCCTTCGGTGCGGACACCGAACCGGCGAACGCCGCGTTGGCTGCCTCCGCTCACGGGGCCCACGCTTTCGAACTCGCGAGGTGTAAAATCATTTCAGCTTCGGCCTTGAAGGGGCTCTCCGGTGGCTGGCACTCGCAGATGGCGTGGCCGTAGACCTTGCCAGAACAAGGCTTTCTTGCTCCCCGAACATAGATGAGGCAACCTCGAAGTTCGTGCCGCAGGTGGCAGCTTGCTTCCTGGCATCAACTCAGATCCGGTGAGCTGCTGAGAATGGTTTGAAACTCGCCGGAGACACACATCGCAGCTATCCAGAGAACCGAAAGCAGCCGACTTGCACTGCAAGCCACCTGACAATACCGGTCGTGGATGCTTCCCGGCACCCCCTTGCAAGCCTTACACGTGACTCCCTGCACCTTGGGAGGCGCAGTAGTCTGCACAGGTGGCAAACTGCTCCTGGAGCCGACACGGGTCGCCAAAAGATTCTAAAAGCAATCTCAGGCCGCGATCGTAAGCCGTTACGCTGCCCAATCGCCTTGATCGAAGGAACCAACACCTTGCAGAAGCCGCAAGTCTTGCCTCAGTTGGATCTGCGTGGAGACTTGCCGGAAATTCGGAAAGTGCCCATGCTGGGCTCCATGCCCACTTTCATCCAGACTGGGTTGGGATGTCCGCACTGCACCTGAGCGCTTGAACACACACACACACACACACATTTCGCGCTGACTTCGAGTGGAACAGCAGATTCTGGGATGTCGGGCGGATTGGTGGAAGCCATGCACCTCCATCTGGCTCGGCAACTGCACCGGACCCGGCTGGCCGTCCTCAGAAAGACTGCAGCAGAAGACCACTCTTGCAAGCGTTTTGCCGCGAGGCCTTGTCGCAGGCCGCCCTGGAGTACAGGCTGGTGCCTGGGCCGTTAGACATGCCAAAGTAGAGGAGGGAATCAAGGCAGAGAGCTGGATTGCAAGCCGAGCTGCTCATCTGGGTTGCGAAAACGTGGCCTGCACACACCACTTAAGCCAACAGGCGGTGCATTTATCCATTCACCCATCCTGCCTGCCCCGTTGACAGCCCAGTCATACGGCTCGCAGGAGGTGATCGATCCGGAGTTGCACTGCCTGCCACAGACCATCGCACATCCGATGATGACTGCAGGCAACGGGTGCAACTACCAGGTGTGCATTGCACATCCTGAAACGCAATGCCAATGGGAAGCGAACCCGCCACCGCACCACACGCAAGGCTCCCCTTTGACCTGCGATGCGAATTGCAGACACTCAGGTGCTCGCTTGGTGCGAGCCGTGCTAGGGCCTTGAAGCCTGCGATGTACTCGTACGGGCGGCCTTCTTTGCTGCTCACGCAGGTTGCCATGTCCTGGCAGAGGCTTCTGACTTCGATTGCAGGATGCTTCTATAGCAAGACAATGAATGCAAACTCCACCCGGATCTCATTGCAGCCCGTCTCCGCAATCCTCGGAAAAAACCGAGTTTCAAGTACGGTGGACGAGCGGCACAGCATCCTTTTTCCAGGAAAGTTGGGGCCCAGGCTTGAGGCAGGCAGTCTCTTCTTCTGGGAAGGAGCGGCTTGTGGCCTGGCTCAATCGTTCTGGGCCGTGCCTTGCCCCTTTGAACTCAGCGATCACTGGGCCCTTCGCATGGCACTGGGCCACGGTTGCAGATACTGCCTTATCTCATGACGGCTCCTCCCGGCTCCTCCAACCAAGTCTGCTCTACTGACACGATTTCCCTGAGACCCAGACGGTCACATGGGGAAACACCTCGGGTCCAGGACGCATACACATGCAAAACCTCTACCTGGTTGTCCCGCCCTGGCCGCCTTGGTTGCGCCTTTGGCGAGATACTCGTATGGAGCACACTTGAAGCTTCCACCGTTTGTGCAAGACCTGAGAAATCTTGGGCTGGATGTCACGCACCGCGAAGGCATTGTTACTTCGCCTCGAAGCCCTCAGACTCTGGCGTGCCACCGCACCACACGCACGGCTGCCCGCGGATGCGAAGGCCACCATAGGAGGCACCAACAGAGCCATCGACACTGCCTCAGCTCATGCACAACGGCTTACCCCTCTCATTCTCGGAGATTTGCACTGACATTCCTTCAGACGCTAAGTGCTGAGCTAAGGCAATGAATCTTGTCGGTAATGGACATGCATCCCGCGGGCTGACAAGGCATTGAGATCATGCGACACGGGGGACATATGGGGGCATGACTCAGACCACACATCTTGCCTCGACATTCAGGCACCCCAACTCCTCCTGAGTTCACTCTCGTCTGTCGTATGCACAACTAGCAGAGCAGAACCATCATTGCATTCCACGCAACCATCTTGGGCTCTGGAAGTGCCAAAACAGCCGAATGCACATGAGGATGTGCTTTGACCATGCCACCCTGAGCAGGAAGCTTTAGGGAAGGAAACGCATCCCCAGACTCTGCCCGTAAAGCTGCCTCACATTGAGCCACCATAGGGTTCTTGTCGTAGCCTCGGAGAGGTGACTCAGCAGGCGGCGCTTAACATGCCGAGTCTGTGCCAAGATACTGGTCGCAAAGACGTAGCTCTCACCTTAGGTGCTTGCACGTGCACACGGGAGAATGCAGCAAGCCTTATGTGCCAGCGGACCGTTCATCTGCAGATCATATGCTTCGCAAAGCCCACCCTCGCTGTTGCAGGTCCTCATAGGCGAAGGCATATGCACACGCCCATAAACACGCGCACAGACACACACACATGCACATGCGCACGGGCAAATATCAGCAAAACGTTGTGCTGCAACTTTGTCCTGCCGTTGCACCAGACGCACGGTTGACCTTTTACCTGACAACTGCGTGCAATTGCTGTGACAGGACTTTGGAAAACGTGGCATGGCCTTGCGACCGAAAATTGTCTCGTTGGGGCGGCCGTCAACGCTAGCCAGGCACTTGAAAGCATCGGTAAGCCTTGGGGACGCCAGTTGTGTGCCAAACTCTCGAGTGCTCCGTGACTTTAGATCAGAGTACGAGCAAGCGGGAATCCAATCCACTCTGCACCTCTCTTGCAAGAATGACTGCGGCTGAGGCGTATTGCATCCATCGTTGGCCGATGAAAGGCACTGCACATCCTTAACACGACTCTGTGACACGAAATATTAAGACTTAATGCAGATGAGGCAGGACTGTCATCTTGCACACATGACAGCTGCGATAAACACCGGGGCTGGACACTGAGGCACCCGCCACGTCGGCACCCACAACAACCTGAGACTCCTGTCGAAAGATCAGGCTGCGAACATGGCCCAAATCTCACGAATTTCCCCACGGAGTGCCCCTCACTCCTTGATCGCAGCCACCTTAAACGAGTGCCTGGGTGGCAGGCTGACGAGCTGACAAGGAAAAGAACACTCCCCATCTAAGGCCCGATGCTTTGCGTAGAAGGTGTCGTGGTGCTGAGCAGCGGCACAATGGCACGCTAGCCGTACGACATGCCGGAGGCTGCTCCAAGTGCAGAGCAGGGCCCTGTCCGTTCATGACGAGATCGAAGGGCATGCACAGCGATGAGCTGGCATCCGTACAGGGCCTGAGTCGAGGACCAGACTCATCTGGTCACAATGCATTATGGCTTGAGCCAGCCACACTCCACCGCACCACACGCAGGCTTCGCCTTGCACCTCACACGTTGCGAGACCCATCGAAACCCCCAAAAAGTGGTGGTCGCCGCCCCTGGTGTCTTCAGAGCACCTTGTACGGAGTGTATCCCCAAGTGGCATTGGAGCTTCCATCTTTGCTGCTCAGGCATGTCGCCATGTCCTGATGGCAGCATGCGAGTGTTCGACCCTTGAAGCCTGCCTTCCACAAATAGCTCCACGCTCCTGGACAGACATACAGCCTCCCGTCACCGGCACCAGCTCTTGGATCTCTGCCTTCGAGTGAGCGGACAGTGGGACACCAATGCATCAGCGCGGCTGCATGCGGCTGCCAGCCTCTAGTGGCCGGTCTGGCTGCCACCAGGTGTCACTCTGGGCAAAGACGGAGGCCTGCCCTTCCTGCAGCAGAAAGGCTAGTGAGCTAGTGTGGCTCCAATGACTCAAAACAAGACTCACGCTCACCCAGGTCCTCGCACGACGGGGTTTCGAAGGTGCCGGATGCCGTGAAGCTTCCGAAGGCATGATCCTATGACAGGCGCACATCGGTGAAGCTGAAAATGTACGCCGTAACACCGTAACACCCACACTGTCCCTGGCTTGCTGTCTCTTACAGCATGCTCAACAAACGCTGCGGCGTCCTTGCCCCCCCCGCGAAGCAAGTAGTCAAAGGGCTCGCACATGGACAAGCCGCCAGTGTGGCACAGCCCGCCGCCACACCAGACACATGGCTCATCTTGCACCTGTGGCAACGCACGCTCGAAGCAGGCAGGCCAACTGTAGGAGATTGGTCGCCTGCAGACCAAGGACGTCCTCTTTCCCGCTGCCATCTTTGCTGCTGAGACAGCTGAAACGATCCTGCCACATAAGGTCTCTCTGGAATGTCATCATGTCTGCGCTTCGGTGCAGTCCTTCAAGGCAGCGCAGCCTTTAGGTTCCGCGCGAAGGCAGCTTTGGTCCTCGGCTCTCGCACCATGCAATCCTTTCGGAACTCTGGGCACAAAACACACGCAGAACTCCCTCTGTCCTTTGGCTTGACCAGCGCCAACTTGGCGGCTTGGTCCTGGACGCCAAGCCCAGTCATGTCCCAGTACGTAACTTTGTCGACAGTACGGGCCTCGTCCTTACGAACATAGCCTCGATCAAAAAAAACGCTTCTGACAGCGCGTCCTGGTTAACTGACAAAATAGCCTGAGCGCACGACATTCAAAACCCGGATTCTCCGTCGAGAAGAGAACATCTCCGTACCAAACCTTGCCACCAAACATCACGACAGGAAACTCGTGTAAAACAAACACATCCAGAGGAAAAGCCTGCCTCGCAGTACTTGTTTTCCGCTTGAAACTCGACCCCTTTGCAGGAACCGGTGCAAAGAGCCTGGACGAAACGTCTTGAACACGGCGGGACAAAAAGCGGACACCACACTATTGGCACCTTGCAGTCATCAATGTTCGATGCAGTCCTGCATTTCATACATAACTCCAGAACGGCACGTGTGCAAGCAAGAGGCTCAAGCGATCTACCTTCGATTATGTCACACCCATTTCAAAAAATCAAATCAAGCAGTCCAAATGTTGTACAGCCGCGCCACATGCCTGGCGATATTCGTCATTGCCAGAACCCTTGCATGGACATCACACGCCGGGTCAACCCTGTTTGGGTCTGCATCACTCCACGACAAGCTCGATCTGAACCACCATCCATCGGGATCAGGTCAACCTTGCTCCACGGCATGTGGGCCTGTGCGGAAAGCCACAAAAGCTCACGGCTTCACAAAATGCCTTGGACGGTTCTGTCACGCTTATGTCTCCGGGTGGCGCGCCCTGGTGTCCGAACTGAATTGGCCCTGGGAAGCCGCAGGAGGCTTCACCGCAGCAATCGTGTCGTCAATGCTTGCTCCCTCCTGCATTTTCACGCTTGGTGGGGCAGATTCCGTTGTTTGACACAGAATCCCGCGTTCAGTTGGGCCTTGCATTTGGCCACCGTGTAGTCACCTCTCGCAGATGTGCTCGAATCTAGCAGCCCTCGACAGCCACTGACAACACGACAGAAGCTGGGCTAGCGACTTGCACTTTCTTGCCGGCGAGTCCAATCATCGACGCGCCTCGGGTTTTCTTTGGCTGCGTTTTGGGTGCTGAATTTCACACCTTCCCGCAAACCTCTCGGCCACCCACGCGCATACGCCTGCCGTGTGCCAAGCACAGGGCTTGCCTGCGTGCAGTGCACAAGAATGCCAGGGCCCTCTTCGAACATGGTCCAATCATGACCGCTACTTTAGATTTAAGCGCAGGCCTAATCTGACGTTGCCGAACAAGTCGTGGGCCATGCCGTCACGGCTGTTTACCTGAGGGCACTTTCAGTTCAAACGCAACACAACCATCATTTGCGGCTCGCACACACCAGTACAAAGGCTCCAGCGCACAGCGTCTCTTCTCGAATGTTTTCGCATCCATCTCCCTGTGGGCTGGAAAAATTACGCTTATGTGATGCTCCCGCACAAGAAGCGTATGGCCTGCCAAAGCAGACAGCTAGTGTTGCCGTAGGATGGAAAGTAAGCCAAGGCTTCTCGTGGAAGAAGCCATGGTACAAAAGCCTTCAGTCTGGAGCTACTCAGCTCACCACTCAGCTGTAAGCTAGTATATGCACTCGGAAAGTGGCAAGGACACTCGCAAATCGAGTCATCGCTCGTCCTTTGCGGCAAAGTTACCTGACACAGGCAATCACCAGACAAGAACAACATGACAGCGATTTCGACCAAGGATGCAACCGAGAAATATCGGATGCTCGATCCCTGTGGGTTCGGGCCAAAATCAGACTGAATGCAAAGGAACGCTTAGGATGTGGTGTCAAAGGTCGTGTCGTACACGCTGCCAGCGCTGACATCTTCAATGGAGTCTACATCATTTCGGAATGCACCGTGCTCGGCTTCATGTCAAAGGGGGACAAGACAGACGCCGATAGGGTGTGACAGCAAACGTTGGTTGAATCGTTCGTGACCTGCCACGTTGTAGGCAGATTTGTGCACAGCAATATCAGTAGCCGCAAATGCATGCTCACATCAACACTTCACACACTGAACTAGAGTTTCTGACAGGTGAGCCTGAATTTTTTTTGAGGGTGCCTTCCAACAGGGAGGCCTGTGGAGAATATTTGTTTCATGCGGGTCGTGCCGGTGAGTCTGAAACAGTTGGGTCTTCACGCTTTACGCAGTCATTTTCGCCCGAATGATTCCGCAAAAAGTTTCATTGTTGGCCACCCGTTCAAACCAGTCCACAGTAAAGTACAAAGCTCTTCTTTTTGACAACCCATGAACTAAACTCATGACAACACAACGAAGGTCTGCACCTGTGCAAACATATCAGTCAAAGAAGCTGCGAAGTCCGCGAATCAGTGAGACAGAGACTGAGCATGCTTCGACATCGACAATTGTCAACAACTTGTCCGATCCTACCTTGCGCACACAGGGGTGCTGAACCAACGGGAGTTCGCTCAACATGCGGAGGGCTCTTAAAGTGTGTCCAACGGTGAAAAATACAAAGCTTGTGCAAGTGAGAGTGAGTGAGTGAGTGAGCACGAAACACCAAGTTTGCTTCCACTTCTGCGCAAACATTATGTCTGTTGTGTTGACCAACAAAGTTTAAAACCCTACACCCCAACCCAAGCCGTTTCTACGAATGAATGAATGCGCCTGAAAACCAAATTTGCTTCCGACTGTTGTAGCTGTGCAAAGGTGCAAGTCTGCAGCTGTTTAGAACATGGCAATCATGTTGAGCAAGTTTTCCTTGCATGCCCGTGCATTTTTCGAAGCTTGAAACATGTTTAAACTGTATCAAAAAAGTTCAGCTTGGCTTGCTTTCGTTTCTTGTGTTGCCAAGTCCCTTAATTCAAGCTTCGTGACTCGAATTGCGTATGAATGTATGAACGCACAGAGCTTTCCTCAATCCTGAAAGCTCAAAATTTTTTTTCACATCCTAACGCAAAAAGTTGGCTGCCGGTGCCAACAAAGAAACATGCGACGTTTCGACAGGCTAATTCCATGTTTTCTACATTGACAGCATTTATCACCCAAAAACACGCATGGCCCTAAAACAATGCCGCACCCCAATTTTTTGTCGAAGCCGTCAACGTCAGAAATGTATGCCTTCTTCATGCATCGGTATCTGCAAGCATCTGCGAAAACACCACTTGGGCCGTTTTCTCGCGAGAGAATCATCCGCCCCGGTTTGTACCGAACAACAAACCTGCCCATCAGCCGCAGGTGAGATGGGGTGTGGCTACACGTGCCTGCGAGGAGCAGGAATGCGATAATGCATCAGATCGAATCAAGTCTGCCCAATCTGCTAGCCTGCTTGCGTAACAATCGTGCATCCTCGGCATGCCCCTTTGGCTGGAGGTCGCTCTGACAGACAGAAAATGGCATGATATTTCGCTGGACTGCTGCAAGAATTTAAGTACGCACTGGGACTCCAACCAACATCTCCGCATGATTTGTGCATTGGTCCTTCACGAAGCCCGCCGGTACAGCCGCTTCGGTGAAAACTGCCGGAAGGAAGCTAAGCCTCCACTAGGGAGGCTTTTCCGATCACCCAGCCATGAAATCTGGTGTTCGTACGATCATGAAAGTTTGGCTCCCGGTGTCGGAAGACGGCTTCAACAACTGTGACAGTCCATGCAGACTTTGACACCATGTGATGCCATCCACTGCTGGGGTGTTCCTGTGGAGACCTACGCGAAGGCGACTTAGTGTCCAGGTTCCTGCACTAGAACTCCGTGGCTGATTTGTTTTATACAGATCATCCTAACTTTCTCAGCTCAGTACATCTCAGCCATGCTCAAAGTCTCTGAAGTCAATCTAGCCTTTGATTGTCACAATGCGTCTCTCACTCACTTCGGGAGATTGTGCTTCGCCTATGAGCATAGGCTGCCTGGGATTTAACCACCTCATTTTGGCTTCGGGAGTGTTGGGCTTTGGAGCATTCTAGTCGAAGCACATTCGCGACCATAGGGTTAGCGTACTTCTTTCTTGCTTCGCGCTGTAGAGTCTTCACAGGCTACATGAACTGAAGCCGCGTGGCATGGCTTATCGCCGCGAGACCTGTGGCCCGCTTCGGCAGTCTGATCGACTTTCACTTTGTGGTCGGGTCGCTTGCTTCCCGAAACTTGCCTGGGCATGACCGAATCACCGTCTCCGCGATTGGAGCCCACATTCTTGCCTGTAGATCCGGCCACACACTGTGCCCTTGAAAAATGGGACCGCCGATCTCGAACTGTTTGCCACGCTCAGCAGCCAGGTTTCGTTGAAGTTGCGTGAAAAATGCTGCACTCATCCCACAAACCGCTGCAGAGCGTCTGAGATGGAAGGTGAAACGGACACCCTATGCGGCTTTTGTCTCCTTGTTCATGCAGAAAGCGTACTTCAAGGAGCCAGTAAAAATCTGCCACACGAGCCCGAGGCCCTTGCAACTGACATTCTAGAAGACTACGGTCGCATCCATTGCATTGCTACAGCCTCTGAGTTGGGACGGCATGCTCGGCTGTCGTGACAGAGCGCGTTAAAGTTGAGGCAATGACCTGAATGATCCTCGCCTGCGCTCGGGTCACCGCCCGGGTCGCTTCGCCTCGGCGACTCGGCCTCCCTTAGGTCGAGGGCGGTTTCCGAAAGCTGCCTTTCAGAAACCGCTTCTCCGAGCAGGGCCTCGGTCTCTGAGAGGACAAAAGTGACAAAAGCGTTTCACAGCTCTGCGATGCTCTGGGCTCCCTGTCCGCAAAGCGTGAAGAAAGCAGGTTGAAGTTTGGCTGGTCTCTTGACCACTCGAGGTGACTCGAGGTGCGGCATGCACCGAAAACAAAACATTGTGGGGTGAAAAGCGAAAACATCAAGGGTGGCCGGAATTGGCCACTGGCGGACTCTTGGTTCCATAAACGTGCTACCAGTGCAAATGATGCCCGGACCGCCAGTTTGCTGGCCCCCTCCTCAACTTCAAAGACCCTGCAGAATTGCAAGCTTGGTGCAAGAAACCTTGGCAATCACCGACTGGCTCCGACCTGACTTTCAATGCTTAGATACTGCAAGGATATGCCTGAATGTCGTGCAGTTCCTCGCTCAAGCCCGCACGAGCAGAGATGCCCAATTACAGCCAAGCTGTCTTGGTGTCGGGAACCATGCCCTTTGTGAAAAGAGGAAGATGGCCTACCTACTTTCCTGCCAGAGCGAGCGCTCTGAAGCACTGCAAGGCAATGCAGACTACATGTGGCCAGATTCCATCTCTCATCGTACCTTGTACCTCACAGATGTCCAAGCATGTACAAAAACACACACACACACACTCACACACACACACACAAACACACACACACACACACACACACCGACACACCCACACGCACACACACGCACGGCAAGTCAAGCGAAATCATGGCTGGATTTAGTTAGTTCCGAATGCTGGATGTTCCAGTCTGCTGGCACTTGCTGGAAGGCTTGTTGCGAACAACATGAAACAGATTGCGGCAAACGTGCTTGCAGGCAAAACTGAACTGTCTGCGTCAGCCAACAGTCACCTTGTACCTGCAACCTGTTGACATCTGCGGATGCCAAATCGAACTCCAAGGTTCAACCTTCGATTCGTTCACTTGTTGGCCAATGATGGAAGCAACAACGTTCAAGGGTGCTTTTGGGCGGCCAGGACATCTCCCAGTGCTTCACCAGAGTAAATAGGCGTCTTCGTTGGCTGTCGCTGCGGGCCCTGCTTCCCCTGCGGAAAAAGCTTGATGTTATAATGCAAACATTTGTGTCCTGTATGAAAGGAAAAAGGCATTCACTTGGGACGTGACTCCCTTAAGTTCATGAGCGAGAACCACACACACACATATACCTATAGAGAAGCAGAGAAAACAGTAACAGCACTGCGCAGGCTCTGTCACACAGAACTGCTACCACATCACGATGCCTGTGTCTGGACTCACAGTCCGCGCCAATTGTGTAAATCAATCCTCGGCCGGACGAGACGGCTCTTGCATTGCGTGTCGACAATATGTGTCATCTCCCTGAACATCGTGGCAATCGAGCGCACATGCCGCTACAGCGACCCGGCATGAGATAAATGTGTGTCCCCGTCAACGGGCATTCCAAAGATTCAAGCACCGCTCAGTGCTACAAGCAGGAAAAGGCACGTAGCAAAACATTTGCACGGGACGTGTATCACTCGCATGAGATATGTTAGTCGAAAGCCTCGATGCCTCGAGACATTTGTCATACTCGAATCCCCAGATTGCTGGCCTGCCAATCACAGTTCCACAACTTCAACTACAGCCATTGTTCTTCTCTGCTTATGCTCCGCATGCCGGCTTGTCGTCACCAGCCGAAGTCGAGGGAGTTCATGAGAGAGTCAAGGATATGGACGTGAAGCTGTTTCGCAGATAAACTCCAAGGCACTGACCGTGTAGACTTCATCTGCGTTCAGTGCCAATGCCCCACACGCAGAGCCCATGCCTGCGCCTCTGCATAAAAGATGGGACAGAGCGGTGGTAAAAGCACGGATTCGGTTCCCAGACCTGCTGAACACTGGTACGGCCGGTCTGGCATGGGAAAAGCCTGAGCGTCCACGGAAGAAGTGTTTTCTGTCACTGGCCCTTAAATCCCCGGCCTGCACCGGAAGCATCATGTAAGGGACCTTTAGGTCGCAGGCTGCCACGAAGGCTCTGAGGCTCTGAGGCTCTCCGTTCTGAGGCCCAAGACCACCTGCATGGATCCTTGCTGGGATCCCAGAGCACCTTCACAGGGACAGAGGGGGCACTCGATGGCAAAGGCCCCTGAGGATGTCAGAGACCAACCTTGAGCTCCGACGCAGATTTGCCGATCCAAGGGTACCTGAACGGAAGAAGAACCCCTTTGCTTCCGACTGCCCGAACCTACCATCGTCAGTGGCCGGCCCCATGCCCGAGAACTTTCGATTCAAGTACCCTCGCAACATACCACCCCAAGATTAGTGAAGTCTTGTCCTTTTTCAAAGACAACAGCGACACTTTAGAGAGCCAACTTGTTCTCCTGGTCATTTTGCTTTCCTTCGTTGTCATGTTTCGCCGCGAAATTAGGACATTGCGAAAGACCCACACAGACCCACTTCGCATGTCGCCCATGACTCCTTTCCGCAACCACAATACTTAGAGACTTAGAGGCCTACAGCAAGCCAAACATAGTTTCCAAACGCAACGTTGCCCGACTGCACCCGTGTGCGAGACCTTATGACCTGCGACTGCCACAAGCTTAAGCCAGGCCGAGTTCTGCGTCTCAATCAAGAACCAGAGTGCTCTGCTTTGGCGCTTACTGGAAGGCTGCAAGCTGGCCAGCCTGGCCCAGCGTCTTCGTGAGCGAAGTCTGTGGATTGGATGGCATCTCAGCGTGCACAAGACTCGGAATCGAAGCTGCTGCGGCGGCACAGCTAACCGCCGTGTGCCGGACCGTTTGGCTTGCCATGTAGAGGGCCATGTGGGCACTCTCGTGCAGCTCAGACGGGACGTGTGAGACCAGGTACCTCGACGCGAGATGCCAGACAGCTGCGATGATGCTTCCTGGATGCTTCCGGGACCCGAGCTGCCCTGGGTTTGCCGCTGTGCCACGGACTGGCAAAGCGGCCGTCAAGTCCTTGCAAAATTGGGTCACCAGAAGGCTCTTCAGAGCGGAGCGAGTAGCAACTTTTTGGGTTCAAGGGCGGTCGCATCCTGATCGGCAGAAGGCCCACAGTCGGGGAAGGGCAGCGCCGAGCCTTGGCTCGCAACTGTCCACTGAGCTACTCTTGGCACCCTCGAGCCCGAGACAAGTGCTTGCAGAGCTTGGCAAAGACGGCGGAAAGGACTTCTGCTGCATCTGCCTTATCACGCGCTTCGCAAATTTGAGGAACCCTATCGTAGTTCGGCTCTATCCGCTTGCCAAGGTGCTGGAGCAGCTGCCTCGTTTCGCAATTCTTGATACGAAAACATACAGGTAGACAGTGCTGCGTGCAACTGCGAGGCTGTTGAGCTGCGAGCAGCCTGTGCAACAGCCAGGGTTCATCAAACACCGAACTTCTCCAAGCGAGCAACATGTCATACTGGCACCTATGCCTGTGTTGAGATTGATTGAGATCACGGAACCCGGACACAGTCGACAAGAAACGGCAGCGAATCGACAATTCCATTTGCTTGCCGGTTTATTCAACCCGCCCAGTCCTGCCGCACCAATCCTGTTACTCTCTTTTTGGAATCCCAGCCGCTGGAGCGGGGCCCGGCGCGCAATCATCACCAGCGCTCACAAATGAAGTCACTGCACCGAAGACCCCACACGCTTGCACCGAGAAGCTCCGCGATACGACATCAAGCCTGGGAACCCGCATCACAGTTTCACGTGGCTCTGGTATGCTCTGGTGGTCTTCCGTCTGCGACGTCAACTCTTCTTGACTTGAAGGGTCGGCTTTTGAATCCATGCAGAACCTCGAAGCGCGTTATTCCGCGTGCTGGCTGCCCCCAGGCTACGAGAAGGACATTAACAAGTAAAGCAGGTACGCTACAACAACCGCGGGGCTGATGCGGTACTCGTAGGGTACGATTTGCTTCTGTCTTTGGCCTTGAGTATGGCGACGATCACCATTAGGTCCGACTCGTCACATGCTGATAATCGACAGCACACAGCCCCCGATCCGTAAATCATGCCAGTTAGGCTGCAGCTGCTGAGCTTGGATGACTTGAAGCTGTGGCGACCTGAGTGAATCGGATTGGAGAGGTCAAACGTCGAAGGTCGAGCCATCATCAAAACTTAGGTCGCTGCATACACGATTCAATGTCCTGCCCCCGGGTATCCTTGGACCTGCGTGCATGATGCGGATACAGCGGTCAAATTCTTGGGACGTTTGTGAAGTTTCCGCTGACACTTGGCAGCAGGCAAGATGCCCTGGGCTCGCATGGGGGGACGCCGCTCCTTTCCCGAGGTGCAGCGCCCACGCTGTTCACGGCATTTCACGGCTTCCTGGCCCATCCCCCGCCTCGCGCTGCTGCATGCGCTTTCGCCTTATCTCCTGAAGCCACAGGTAAGCAAAACTGTAAGCTCAAGATTTAAGCTTTGGGATGACCTCGGAGCAAGGAGTCTCGGATCACTGGAAATTCTGTGTTGGGATACTCAATCACGGAGATGAATAGTTCACGAAACTTTTCTTCGAGTGTCCGCTTCAGTTCCTCGTACCCCAACACTCAAGACATATGACATAAGATTGAGCGGGGCCTGAGAGGCAACCGCTGGAAAGAACAGCGACGTTGTTGTAGCCACTTCGTTGCGGTTCTCCCGTCGGGCAGCAGCTAGCGCTCCTCCTCATGCCGCTCCATGATCTTCAGGAGCTGCCTGCAGCTGAACGAGCAAGCGAGAAGCTCCTTGCAGAAGAAACGTGCTGGAAGGCCACTGCTGCTGCTGCTGTAGCGAAAGCTGTCGCAATTCCTGCGGATCGACGCCTGCGACTTGCGGAGTATCTTGGTCCAATTTCCGCACCACATTCGTGCCTGACACAGGCTGCCGTGGCAAAGGCCTCAATGCACTTCCGTGTGCGCTGCTCACCCACTGACCCACCGAAGCAGTGCATTAAGACGTAGCAGCGGTCAGAGCAATTCAAGGCCAAAGACACCCCGCCGCCTGCCTAATGAACCACAAGTTATGTACCGTGGCTTTCGGTGCTTCTCAGTTGTGGTCTGCTTTGTTGTGTGGAAGTTGTGTGTGCTCTGGTCCATACACGTACAAGCCGGTGTTTGGCATCAACTGATCCGTGCATCCACAGTTACTTGGAATCCTCGCTGTGTTATA